GAAAAAGCGAAGATATAACAATGCCACATGCACAAATCACTAGTGCTGGTGTCAACTAACGCTAGTGGGTAGTCGACCAAAACATTAAATCGTCAACGTCTTTCATAGTTTTTTTTGACAAATATTTTTATTGGTATTTCGTTTTTTCAGCATAAGACATTGCACAAGTATATATCCCACAAAGAAAAATCAAAAACATAATACAAGAAAATACAAGAAAGAAAGGAAAAAAAAAGAAAAAAAAAGAAAGAAATATATACACATATATACGTAGGTGGACATGTGGTAAATATTGTAATTTAAACATTGCAAGTTACAAAGCCGGCAGACAAGTAGCCACATCACATCCAACCATTATAGAGGACATGGTCAATTAGGAGGTACATTTATTTCCAAAAACTCCAAGAATTCCCCCCATATTTGATGGAACGTTTCAGGCTTTCCCTTTATGGCAAATGTCAATTTTTCTAAGGCTAAACAATCAGAGAGATTTTTTAACCAGTGATTGATCGAGGGGTTTTCTGGGTTTTTCCAAAAGACAGCTATCGTGTGTTTAACTTGGAGAAGAGAAAAAACTACTAGTCTTTTCTTAGTGATATTAAGTCTGAGAGTTAGAGGGAAAACCCCAAGAATACAGAGTTTTGGGCATTCTGGTAATGTGGCGGAAATTATTTTTGACAATGTGCCCAGAACATCTTTCCAAAATGATTTAATATTTGGGCAGTCCCATAAGCAGTGGAACAATGTTCCCTTATCATTATCACACTTTACACATTGATCTGGAATATTTGCATCAAAATGGTGTAGTAGGGATGGAGTTATATAGGTACGCATAATCCATTTGTACTGTAGGAGTCTAAACCTTGTGTTAATAGTTTGAACCTGGGCTTTGTGGCATATCTGCCCCCATTCCTCAATTGTTACCTCTGCATTCAAATCAGTAGACCAAGCAAGTCTTTTCTTCTCTGAGGACTCTTCTGATTCAGTTTTGCAAAGGTCATAGATCAAAGACACCTGTCCATGACCAGAGGAGTGATGTACTATAATTGTTTCCAGCTTTGACAGAGGTGGACATAATAGTGAGTGATTTTGTGCCTTAGATATATAACTCCTTAGCTGCAGATACTTAAAGAAATGTGTTGAGGGAATATGATGTTTATTTCTTAGCATCTCAAAGGTCATCAGTTTGTTGTCATCATATAGATCACTGATCTTATTGATGCCTCTGTTGGCCCACATTTTAAACCCTGTGTCATATGTTCCTGGTATAAATCTTCTGTTACCCTATACAGGAGTAAAAGAGGATATCTGTGACTTTAAACCTAAGTGGCTTTGTACTTTGAACCAGACATCAACTGTGTTCCTGACAAAAGGGTTTTTTGTATTCTTTTTAAGCTGTTTTGGAGAGTCAGAGAACAAATACAAATTCAGTGGTAGTGGAGTTGTTGTATAACGTTCAATTTCAACCCATGGTATGGGGGTTCCGTCCAAGAACCAACACATTGCTGCTCTTATTTGGGCTGCCCAGTAATACCAGGACAGATTGGGTACCTGGAGTCCTCCTCTCTCATAAGGTAGATATAAAAGGGATAGCCGTAACCTTGGTCTCTGATTGTTCCAGATAAAATTTGTAAAGATTTTCTTCATTTTGGGAAAGAATGAGGATGGTGGGTGCAATGGCAGGGATTGAAATAGATACAAAAATGTAGGTAGGACATTCATCTTGATAATATTGATTCGTCCGATTAGGGATAGAGGGAGTGATGTCCACCTGTTAATAGAATCTGTCACAGAAGCTATTATGGGGTCATAGTTTGTTGGAACAAGGTCTTCTATTTCAGGTGTAATCTGTATTCCTAAATATTTAAAGCCTTCCAGGGAATTTTGGAAATCTGTTTGAAGAGGTGGATTAAGTCTTTCAGATTCTTTAAGTAGAAGAATGTTAGATTTCGAACTATTCACCTTATACCCTGAGAACGTACCAAAATCCTTTATCAGTTTATTGAGCGCTGGCAATGACACTGATACATTTTTTATAAATAAAACAATATCATCAGCGTAAAGGGCCAGGCGATTTTCAATGCCCCCAACTGTTATTCCTGTGATATGAGAATGAGTTCTAACCGCGATAGCCAGGGGCTCAATTGCCAGTACAAATAGTAATGGAGATAGAGGGCACCCCTGACGTGTACCTCTCGATAGTGCAAATGGTGCAGACACTATGCTATTGGTTAATACTTCTGCATTTGGGGTGCTATACAAAATTTGTATCCATCTACAAAAACCCTCCCCGAACCCAAATCTGGATAATATTTCGAATAGATACGGCCATTCCACCCAGTCAAAAGCCTTTTCAGCATCCAGGGACAGAATGGCCGTATCTGGAGCCCCCCTCTCTGTATGTAAAATATTGATCAGCCTCCTAATATTATGGAAGGCCTGTCTGCCCTTGACAAAGCCATTCTGATCCAGGCCCACCAGTGTAGGCAGGTGATTTTCAAGTCTTAAAGCCAGTGCTTTAGCGATCAATTTTGTATCTGAGTTAAGCAATGATATAGGCCTATAAGAGCCACATCTGGAGGGGTCTTTACCTGGTTTTAGGATAACTGTTATTAATGCACCCTGTAAGGTTGGGGGAAGACAACCCTCGTCTTTCATAGTTGATTCATTGTTGAAGTAAATGTTTATGCAAACATGTCAGATATTGCTTTTTCCAGCCTCTCAAATATATTTTCTACTGTTTTATATCAAATTAAATTAAATATTTGTGACTGACAAGATATGTATTGACATCACCTTTGACTTTAAAAGCTGGTGTGGTCACTTTACTATTTTCTGACGATTTTATAGACCAAAGTGTTCTGTCCTCCAAATCCAACAGGCAGCTAAACTTCTTCCCTGAATCACTGGACGAAGATAATCATTCCATTTATATAATGGTAAACTAGGAATTGGATAAAACTAAGACAAAAGGATACAATAACATGTTTCATCGTTTCATACATTCACATAATTAAAGTTAAAAGGGAGAAACAACAACTGATTACAAACATTAGAAATGCTACAGTTAGCTAATTGACAATGCTATAATACACGGGAATTTAAAAAGCACAAACTAGCTATCAGACAACAGGACACCAAAATCTAGACTAGAGAATAATCTGCATTTATCTGGCTTCTGCTAAATTACATTTTTCTAGAGGGCCCTTTATCAATGGTGCGTGTCTTACTCATGTAGTGTAGTTAAACAATGCTGCATTGATTGGAGTCAGGAGGTCAACCTAAAAACTAACGTCACAGCTGTTGTATGACTCTTTTTTTTGCAGGCATTTTGGAGTGTAATTGTGATCCATAAAAGTTTTGTATGTGAAGTGACAACATTGGATGCTCTCGAGTCCTACTGTGAGCAACACCTCAGAGAAACACAATGGACAAACGGTGTATCATATCACTAGGCTTAAGTGTGTGTGTGAGCTCTCCGTTGATACCTGTGTCTCCGGTCCATTCGTCGGTCAGCACCCCCTCGGACACCACGGAGCCGCAGTCCACGCACACCCGCTGGGCCTGGCAGTACAGGTCATCGTCCACGATGTTGGAGGAGCCGCAGCCCGGGCAGCGTGTTACCGAGGCGGACATCTTTCTGATGAACTGCCCCCGTGTGCGGTAAAGATGGAGACCTCTTTATCAGTCTGTACACCTGCTGCACAACAGTGGACTCGATTTACGAATGGAGGAAACTGTAATCAGCTGTTCAAGAAGCCGGGGCCGCTTAAAAATATGTCCGGGTTGATACACACGCTCGGATGTTCGATTGTTCCGCTTGGTCCTGACACAAAAGTCAAGGGGGTTTGTTTCTTTTTGACATTGGTGGGTTTTGGACTGGCAGAGGTGGGAGAAGTACTCAGATATTGTACTTTAGTAAAAGTAGAAGTACCAGAGTGTAGGAATACTATCTTACAAGTAAAAGTACTGCTTTCAAGGTTCAAGGCTTTTATTGTCATTTGTACATAGCTACAGTGTAGTTATGACAATGAACATCTTAGGTCACAGGCTCCTCCAACAGAGCAACACAATAAAACAGATAAAATAGTGCAAGTAAATAAAATCAAATATAGTAGAAATAGTGCAGAATAGTTTATATACAAGTAATTGGAATACTTTTACAGCAAACAGATGTAAAAGTAGAAAAGTATTAGCATCCAAATATACTTGTACCGTATTTAGCAAATTGGACCATTTTAGAATACTATAAATTATATGTTTATATGAGTCAAAGCTGGTAAAGGTGCAGCTAGTTTGAATGACTTTGTATATACTTTGTAGCCTATATATATTTTGTATGTATGCACCACGACACCTAGTCAAATTCCTCGTACGTGTGAACCTACCCGTTTCTGCTTCTGATTCTGTAGGGTAGCTTGTGAATGTCACTCATGGTACAAATAAAGTCTTATTTTAGTGTTTATATTTCACATTATTAATCCAAATCTTGAAAGTAACTAAAGGTACAAAATAAATGTAGTGGAGTAAAAAGTACACAATTTACCTGTGATTTATAGTGGAGTAGAAGTACAAAGTATAAAATGGAAATACTCAAGTAAATACAAGTAGCCTATCTCAAAATTTGACTTGAGTACTAAGTACTACTTGGTTAATTCCCACCTCTGGTTTTGGGCCACATATAAGGCGGGTTCTGGGGGTCCTAATGGTCCAATGTATGGTGGAAATGTCTTTATGTAAAGGAAAAAAATATGAAAATAATTGAGTATAATCCATATGCTAATAGTTATTCTGCATTGTTTATGAATGTGTGTTCACTAGCAGATTTTCAGCAAATGTGAATGTTATCAACTGCAGTGTATTTTATCCAGGAAAGTAACCTCTTTCAATGTGTTTATGCTATTTGATATTATTTATAAATTCTTTGCTTTAATAGCTCGTTTTTTTTTTTTAGCTATTATACAGAGATATGTTAACTTTATTAATTAGGAATAACAAAGTTTGTTTATCAGAAAAAGAAAACCATTTATTTCATTCGGCATAGGTTGATACCATAAATCAGTAAAGCAATTCAGTGTACATCATGTTAATAGTACAAGCAGGGTAAAGCGCCTTTTAGTGTTAGTAGAAACATATAAACATTGACACTGAGAAAAAAGAAACATTATCTACATAACTAGTGCATAGATCCGACAGTGAAATAAGGCTCTTCTTCATACCGGAGATACCTGAAAGCTGTTTTTAAACTTTATTTATTTATTTTTACAGTGAAATACAGTAATTACGTTTGACATAATTTGACATTCATCAAAGACTTTTATGCTCAACATGAAAACATTCATGACAGATATTCATTCATTCGTCAAACGCATACTGTAGCAAAGTGTCAAAAAGGTGACTAAATATTTAGAAAAATGTAAAAATATCTTTGAAAAGTTCTCAGATAAAACTGGAACAGCTTCTGCAAGATGTCCTTTACAAAATAGATTTAAATTGTCATCGTTATTCATTAGCCAGTATAGGGAACATGAAGTCGAAACTGCTCAAACCTTTATTATCCAGCTACTTTTCATAATATAATCCACAAGAACATCTAAATGTCTTTGGTGGTACGGCTAGATTACTGGGTCTGAACAGAGAAGGCTACAGTTGGAATAAAGTGTCAGATGTAAATCCTAGGCAGCTTTCTTCGCAGAGTTCAAGGACATGAGAATACTCGGCTTCTCCTCTATGATGCGCACCAGCAAGTTGTCGATGTACAGCTCCAGCTCTGATATCTTTTTGCCTCTATCTGAAAGCTTGTTCTCCTGTTTGAGCACCAGAGAGATGAGTTCCTCCTGAGTAAGCTGGGAATAGGGCCCTTTCAGACTGGGGGCATTGACCTGTGAGAGTGGATAAAACATACGTGTATATTAAAATCATACAGAAGACACAAAGCCCCTGAAAGTAGATGTAATGGATGCTGTCTGATGAAACAGCATATACTATACATTCTTTCATTCAGAGACTTTCCTTTGTTCATTCGAAGAACCATATACTTTTTGGATCCTACCAACCTTTGTTTTCTCCTGATCTTCACATGTGATTCTTGAGGATTTGGTATCTCTTTCCCCTTGAACGACTGAAACCGACTGCTGTTCCAGAGGATTAAGGGGTTTCACAGGTTGAAGCCTGCAATGACAACATAAAAAAGAAAGAAAGATGTAGGCACTGGCTGATGAAAGTGAAATGAAATAGAGTATGCGTGCAAGTATAAGTCAGTTATAAAGCTTCATCCATTTTTTATTTAGGAATCACTAAATAAACAGAATATGATAGTTTATATTAATGCTGACATCTCATTGATCCGCAGTAACCTTATCAGATACACCCGGCTAATGGAACAAGCAAATATGAATGAGTATGAATGATGAATCCTAGAAAACTCTGCATGAGAAATGTGCAGGGTGATGAATCTTTTTCTTATGAAAGACACAATATTCCGAGCTATCGGTGTGTGATGTATAATATATGAAGATAAGGATGAGTTGTATACATATTCTGTAGAGGAGCTGAACTCTCACCTGCGCAAAGGAACAGGAGCTCCGTCTTTCTTCCCGCCTGCCTCCTCCCCAGCACTCTGCACTGTGGCAGGCTGAGACTCTCGAAGGGGAGCCTCCTGGACGTGGATGCTTTTTTTAGCTTCTGATTTGGGGTCAGATGCATGGGTCACATTATCAGTCGCACCTGTAACATGTTCTCCTTCTTTGTTTTGGTTTATTAAAGTGCTCATTGTGGCAGCTTTCCTTGCAGAAGGTAGAGGAGCGCGGGCTTTTGAGGGTTTGATTTTTGTTTGAGATGCGTCATCTTTATCAGCAGCTTGTGATGCTACTGAAGGCCTTTGTCCCGATCCAGTTTCACTAGAGGGCGCTGCTTCATCTTCTGGTGCAATATCATCTTCGCCGTCTTCAAATGGATTCAAGCCATAAGCGATTGGGACTTGTTTTGCCACAGAGAGACATTTATGGGAAATGCTGCCATCGGAAGACAGGGTTATCTTGGGTTTAGATGATGGCTCTTCTTCCACAGAAAGAGGTTTAAGCGGCGCAGGACGTTTACTGTGTTTGGCTTCATTTGATGTTTCTTTGGTGGCACTACTTTGTGTCAAGCTCTGGGTGTTCTTTGTGTCTGTGGAAGGCCTACTAATAGGAGCAATCATTTGCACCGAGCGCTGAGGCAGAACACTGACGGTTTTGATGTCTTTGTCTGAACTCTTCTTGGTCATTTGTGGTAGTTGTTGTGCAGAGCCATCCTTCTGACTCTCGTCTTGATTCCTTCCTGGAGGCTGAGGAGCCAGCCGCCTCTCCCGCTGAGCACTAATAGGATCCTTTTCATCTGTAGAAATAGACTTGCTTCCCACCAATGGTGCAGCAGATTGAACCCTGGAAACAAGACACAGATAACTTTTGCAATTAAATGGGGTACCATTGGAGTGACTTTCTATGGTGAAAAGGAGATTAACATTATTATATCTATTACAAACTTGTGATGGAGAAATAAACAAAGAGGACACATTGTTCATATGAAAAAGCAGTGTTTAGTAGAAGCAATGCAATGTAGTAAGATGTGGTTGTTTATTAAAAAGGATAAAGAAATTCCAAATATCAAGCAAATCACATCCTGTAATCCCTTGATAAGTAATTCATTGTATTCAAGTAGTTTTCACTCCCTGTTCATGCGTCAGCTGCTTAAATGAGGTAAGACTGTTCAATGATTAATCTCTCAGGTTGAAACATAAACTACCTAACACACATGTATGCATCTGCACGCTCATACCAACGCTAACACACACACGCAAGCACAAAGCTATGCAATGTTCATGAGGGTGTTAGGTTGCGTTTAAAAGAGAAGTGAGGAGCTGTTGTTCTGACTGAATAAAAACAGAAGATGCAATAACACTTCTGCACATGTAAATGACTTCATATCATTTTCATCAGGCAATATTCAAACTTCCCTCTTCTGTTCCTTGTTTTGTTATCTATAACTAACACAGGTTAAAGCAGCCCCGTTATGCTCATACTTTCATAATTGTATGTTGTGCCCATACTTGCCAACCCTCCCAATTTTCGCGGGAGACTCACGATTTCATTGCCCTCTCCCGGTTTCCTCCCGGGGTCATATTTCTCCCGCATTTCTCCCGATTTCTGACAAAATCAGATTTACTCAGGACTGTTTCCACTCGGACTTTAATACAGCTACACCATTGTTTGGTTTCCATGGTAGCGTAGCGCGCGCAACTGAAAGTCTGAGAGGGTGAGGAAGATAGTCACAGCAAACAGAACAAGAATCGACAATTCTACCCTCTGCTCACTCCTTTTACAGGTCCAGCCCACACATATGGTGCTACAGGCCGCAAGGCAGTGCACTTACAACTACAATAAGCATGTTAATGTTAATCTAATACAGCTCCGGCGATCCACTAGCACCCCCCCCCCCCCCGCGGTGCTTTTGGAAATGCTCCCGATTTCTGAGGTCTCAAGGTTGGCAAGTATGGTTGTGCCTCTACTGTGACTGTGGATCTGTTTTTAGGCTAAAGATCTTAAAGAAGACATTTCCAGGTTCATATTGGTATGTAGTGTTTCTCCTGTGACATGTCTCCATGCTTTAATGCTCTGATTGGTTAGCTGGTTGGCTGTTGTGATTGGTCAATGGCTTAGGGATGTCCCGCCCCTTAGCCTATTACGTACAATGTGTTGGAGCGCTAGCCAATATAACCGTGAGTGTTTCTGATGTAAACAAAGGGCAATCGAGGTGTTTAAGGGGATGGAAAAGGATTTTGGAATGTTAGCCATTGCAGACCATTTACATGCACAACAAATACCTTTATAAAAACACTACAGGAAAGAACAAAACTGACCCAACCTCCATTTACCCTAAAACACCCACAACCTTCCCCGTTTCCCATAAGTGAATTTCGAATCAGGTTTGAACAATTGATGGAGTGTAAGAACATTTGAAATGCAGCGTGTGAATCTAACCTCTGCTGGATGGCGGACATCTTGTCTGTGTGCTGGATGGCGGACATCTTGTCTGTGTGCTGGATGGCGGACATCTTGTCTGTGTGCTGGATGGCGGATATCTTGTCTGTGTGCTGGATGGCGGACATCTTGTCTGCGTCTGCTCCAGCCGGTGAGTCTGGATCCTCATCAAACGGATTGGAAGAGACCTCTGCAGGGATCTCCACAGCCGCTTTGAGTTTGTTTTGAGATGCATCCTTCTTTTGTTTTTCTGCTTTCCGTGTTGCCTTCTCTTCCTCTAGCTTCCTGGCCTGCTCTTCTCCTCTCTCATCCTCTGCTTTCTCCTCCCTCCTAATCCTCTCCTCCTCCTCTCTTTTAACTTTCTCCTCTTCCTCAATCCGTTGAGTCTCTCGTCTCATTTTCTCCTCCAACAGTCTTTCTTCCTTCTTAGCTCTCTCTACTCGTCTCCTCTCTTCCTCTTTCCTAAACCTTTCTTCTTCCTCAATCCTCCTCATTTCTTCTTCTTCTAGTTTCCTCTTTTCCTCGACCAACTGCTTGCGCTCTTCTTCTTTCCTCATCTCTTCTTCTTTCCTCCTCATCTTTTCTTCTTCCATTCTTATCCTTTCCTCCCGTTTCATTTTCTCTTCTGCCTCAATCTTTCTTCTTTCTTCCTCTTGTCTCAGTGTTTCCTCTTCCCTCCTAGTCTGTTCCTCCTCTTCTGTCTTCATCCTTTCCTCTTTCTCCCTTTGCCTCCTTTCTTGTTCCTCCTCTTGTTGTCTTCTCACCATCTCCTCTGTCTCTCTTTGTATCCTCTCCTCCTCCTTCTCCTCCCTCCTAACCCTCTCCTCCTCTCTCACCATCTCCTCTGTCTCTCTTTGTATCCTCTCTTCCTCAGCCTCCTTCTCCTCCCTCCTAACCCTCTCCTCCTCTCTCACCATCTCCTCTGTCTCTCTTTGTCTCCTCTCAGCCTCCTTCTCCTCCCTCCTAACCCTCTCCTCCTCTCTCACCATCTCCTCTGTCTCTCTTTGTATCCTCTCTTCCTCAGCCTCCTTCTCCCTCCTAACCCTCTCCTCCTCTCTCACCATCTCCTCTGTAAAGCTTCCTTCTTCCTCCACTCTTCTCTTCTCTGCTAATGTACACTGTTCTTCTCTCCTTGCGCTCTCCTCTAGTCTCCTCCTCTCTTCCTGAGTCCTTTCCTCCTCCATCCTTATTCTGTCCTCTTCCTCCCTTTGCCTCTCTTCCTGTTCCTCACGTCTCCTCTTTTTCTCATGCTCTTCATCTTCACTTCTCACCCCCCCCCTCTTCCTCTCGTTCCCTCCTCTCTTCCTCAGCCCTCTCCTGCTCCCTCCTTTTCTCTTCTTCCTTTCTGAATCCCTCCTCTTCAATCTGTCTTTCTTCTTCCAGTCTCCTCTTTTCCTCTGCTAACTCATCCTCTTGTCTCCTCGCTCTCTCCTCTTCTTCTCCTCGTCTCCTCTCCTCCTCAACCCTTTTCTCCTCCTCCTTTCTAACTCTCTCTTCTTCAATCCTCTCTTCTTCCTCTTGTCTCCTCTTTACCTCCACTAATATTTCCCTCTCTTCTTCCTCTTGTCTCCTCTTTACCTCCGCTACTCTTTCCCTCTCTTCTTCCTCTCGTCTCCTCTCTACCTCCACTAATCTTTCCCTCTCTTCTTCCTCTTGTCTCCTCTTTACCTCCACTAATCTTTCCCTCTCTTCTTCCTCTTGTCTCCTCTCTACCTCCACTAATCTTTCCCTCTCTTCTTCCTCTTGTCGCCTCCTCTCTTCCTGGGCTCTTTCTTCCTCCTCCCTCCTAATCCTATCCTCTTCTTCCTTTCTAACTCTCTCTTCTTCCCTCCTTTCTTCTTCCTCTAGTCTCTTCTCCTCTGCCAACCTCTCAAGCTCTTCTTCCTGCTTCCTAACCCTCTCCTCCTCCTCTTGTTTCCTACTCCTCTCTTTCTCCATCTTAATCCTTTCTTCTTCTCTTTGTTCCTCCACATCCTCTTCCATGTTTTCTACTTCCTCCTCCTCCTCCTCCTCCTCTGTCCACGGTGAATACTGCCTCACGGCTCTCAGTGAATCCACAGATGGAGGAGAGTTTTCGGGGACATCCTCCATGGAGCCGTGTCCCGAGCTGGTCAGACTGAAGTTTGATCCGATGCGAGAGGACCGGGGGGGCGGCTCTTCACGGTAAACATGGCTGCCATTGATGCAGAGGTTACTCTGTTCTGCAGCACCTTGTTTCTGATGACCGGAGTCTTTGCCGTCTGAGCTGCCTGAGCGCTTGTTCATGAACTTGAACTTCTTTTTACCTGGAAGGAGGTGAGAAGTTAACAGAGAAAATAAATTAACACTAGAACCGCCAAGAGAGTCATTTTAATCCCCCTGCGTTTTCAAATACATGTAACCCTGTTCAAATAAAACCCACGACAGAATTTATTAAGTTTCGACACATGGAGAAAATAAAGTGTACTTTGGGTGGCTTTTTTAACGTACATGGAAAGTTTGAAACGCTTCCCTAACCGATTTATCATTTTTTATTTATTTCTTTAGACTGAATTACTATAGTCAACCATCACTAACATTTATCTCGACCTTGTTATGCGATTTTGTTGTTGATTTGTTTTAGTTTTTTCTGCTGTGATTTCAACCATTTGTTTGTCTTTCATTTTAAATGTTTTTGGACTATTAATATTGTCTTTTTCTGTAGTGGGGGGGGGGGGGCGGGGTCGGGGGGAATAAAGTTCATGACATTCATGACTTTTCCTAAAAATATATTTATCATCTATACTGTAGGTACATTTTGGGGGATGTGGGATGAAAAGAAAATATACTGTAAGATTTATTTTTAGAACCACCAAAGGTTATACAATTTGAATAATGTAGTTAATCTACAATAACTAGTTAGTTTAAATGTATTTAGTATGTTGTTATTTGTTTGTAGAAGCGCACCATTTATTGATTTATTGTAAAATATATCTGTTATTATATAAACTGAAGCAATTTCTAAATTAACCACATTAACTGAGTTTAAATAATTGTTTTGTTGTGTTATATGAAATGATGAAAATTAACAAACTAAATGTTAAAAAAATTACATCGCTGATCACTGACGCTGTTGCAATAAGGGGTCAAAATGACCCTGCTTGGCAGTTAAGGGTACTGAATATTGGCGGTTCTATTGGTATACAAAGGTGATGGAGTAAATAAAGAAAAACTGTTGCTCCTCACCTTCAGAGGAATCCACGTTCAGCCCAGACGACTGGCTGCCGCTCAGCGAGGAGTTCTTGACGGGCAGAATAGACATGGACTGAGACATGTTCTTCTGCAGGTTGGACTTGGTAGAAAACAAAGACTTAATCTTGTGTTTCTTCTTTTTATCGTCCTTTCCCGCAGTCACCTCACCGTTCCCCTCCTCCTCGCTGTCGGTCAGGACTTGACTGAAGGACGGCAGCATGTTAGACGCAGCGTCAGATTCCTTTTTCTTGCCGCGTACTTTGTCCTTGAACTTGCCCAGACGAGATTTGGATTTGCCGGCAGCGGAGATGTCGAACATGCTGGCCGTCATGTTGTTCCTCATGAACTGGATGTCCACCAGAACCTCTCCTCTGTCTTTATCCGCCTTGCCAGTTTTGTCCAGCAACTTGAACCATCTGTGTAAGAGAAGACAGTTTTTTTACCACAAAATGTCAAATGTTTTAGATTGGGCGACCTAATTTAAAAAGTGAAAGAAAACTATTCTATGTTTTATTCTGGATGTTCTTATCTTCGTCTTTGAGATTAAAAACATTCTAATACTTGGGAAAAACTGTTTTATGCTACCTGGTGCAGAGGAGATAAGCCCAGTATTCACTCTACATCACATAATTACATATTAAGCGACTAACAATAAGTGCAATAAAGCATAAAGATCCAAACTAAAACTGCTGACATATTTCTTCAAACAAGAAAATATCACTGTAAGTGCTTGTGCATACTGTAAGTAACACTCTTTAGTGCTTTTTTGTTGTTGTTGTGATTATTCGGCATGGTACAGTACAAGCGAAACAGGTGGCGCTTCAGTTTGCGACGACAGATATGTAGATTCTCCGCTGTCCTGATATCAGTGGGAAGCTCATTCCACCATTTGGGAGCCAGGATAGCGTAGAGGTGTACCTGGTTCCACTTCGTAGTGAGAGAGTAGCAAGCCGATTGGCAGATGCAGAGCGAAGTGCACGTGCTGGAGTATGGTTTGACCATGTCTTAGATGTAGGATTGACCAGATCCCTTTACAGCATGGTAGGCCAGTACAAGTGTCTGAAAGCACATTCTGGCAGCCACTGGCAGCCGGTGAGGGGAGCGAAGGGGAGGTGTATTGTGGGAGAACTTGGGGAGGTTGCTGCATTTTGAATTAGCTGTAGAGGTCGGATGGCATTTGCAAGTAGACCAGCCAGGAGGGAGTTATAGTAGTCATTTTAGATTTATTTTCTACTTACTACAAAAGTATGAAAGCTTAGTGTCATTTAGCTGAACAAATAACCTAGACTCTTTAAAACGTTCAAAATCTAAATACTGCCCATTGTGCATTAACATTCACTTTACAAACGTAATGCTTCAAAAACAAACTGCAGTAACAAGATGCCACGGAGGAAACATGTTTTGTTGGAGCATTTTTTCCACACAGGCTGTTATTCACCATAATGTAATCTACTGAATGGATATATTTTTCGTCCTTGCAGCTTCTTTGTGGAAACTTTGATCAATCCAGTAGCAAACTGAGAGTGACTCAGCAGTGACTCTAATGTTTTCGCAACGTCTGTGAGGGAAACTGACCAAATAATAATAATGTTCCGCCTCTGGCATCCATTTGTGGGGGGAGGTAATGAATGCTTTTATTGTGTTTACTATTTTTGCACCAATAGGCAACCTTTATAAACTTTTTCCGCCAAAGTCTCACAGAAGCAAATCATAATAAGTATTACTTTAGGATCAGACTGATAATAATGGGTAGATTTATTACTTAGCAGGCTCTCCAATTGTTACACTCTATGCCTTGAAGATATGCGTAATAATCACCTTCTGCATTTTCCGCACTTTTTCAGACATCTAACCCTGCAGACAATCAGTAGACCAGTCGGCTCCTTCTAAGAGGGAGTTTTTATCAAACAAGCTTAATCTCCACTCCTCAAAAAGCTAAAACTATTCAGGGTTCCTCTGGAAAACTCTACTACACACCTCATAACCACCCTTTGCAATGCCCAACACATTTCGATGTAGCTTGACAATAAAATACCATTCAAGGAACCCAACAGAAACATACATTTGAAGCTCAAAATAGCAACTCAAAATGTAATTATTGTAATAACATGAAGAAAAAAACAAAACAAAACTGAGTAAACTTCCACTGAGACCAGGTTGAGTCAACTTCTGCATCTGTGTCACGGTCCAAAGGGGTCTCAGAAAAAGCAGAATACTTTAAAAGAACAACGGAAAGGAGCAGTCAGCATAAAAAGTGCCAATCAGGCAGAAATCTGAGGTCAGCTCACCGCTGAACAAACAACTCCAACTGAAATCTGGATTCCTGGGGAAATGAGGAAATGAGGAAGGGGGCCGTGGGTGCAATCGGGGTGTGTGTGTGTGTGTGTGTGTGTGTAGCATTCTTTTGTGAGGCTTCATAACTGTCCTTCCTTGCTATGTCAAGCAAAAAAGAAGTTACTTGAATCAGAAAAAGCATTACACAACATTGTGTTCGTCTTAATTTTGAATTTCTTTATATGTGGCATAAACTGTAACCCCCCCCCCCCACATTACATAACATCCCTCTCCGTGTCTTCCTCTCGCTGGCACACTCCTCCTCCTCCTCCATTGCTTCAGTGTTGCACAAACATAAGGAGTGAAATGTGTTTTCCTGGAAGTTGTTAAATGGGTGAGACTGCTGTCACAGCACCTCTGCCTCCTACTGTTGATGAGTAATAGAGCTTGACATTATACATATTGCACTATAGAAACCCTCCATGGTTTGGCTGATGTGCATCCTTCAAACAAACACTGCTAGATAAATATTGCATGTTTTTATCATTCAAATGTGGACAGGGTTTGTTGTTATCTCATACACGTTAATATATTTATGTGGTAGAAGGTTATGAAAAATAATATTTCATCCAATGCCTCTGAGGCATCAAAACATCCTTTTGAATAGGTTAGTTGTCAAAGATGAACAGTTATACAATAAACCCAATATGGCCTCAAAACAAACATTATAAAAGGATTTATGATGCTTCACAGCAATGTGTACTATGGAAGTGCTGGACAGTCAATGTTATTTTTGATAGAGCTTCAGACAAATGAAGATAAATAAATGAGGACTTTAAAACTGCATTAAATCACAAGATAATTTGAAAAAACAACAAGAAACCAACAAACAATGCTGACTGGTGTGGCTGAAACACTGAGTAGAATTGGGTGATTATTCTCACTGGATTATTGATTACAAACAAAGTTAGTGACCTGCAAAAAATATTGATTATAGCCTAAAGGACTTTGCTCAAAAGTTGAGTTTCAAAGCTTTTTCTTGACCCTGGTATCTGATCTGAAGCTATTTAAAATTGCCATTAATTAAACTAAGCTGATATTTCACCCACATTTTAGCTTCACCTCAGGTAACACCTTAATCCATATCAAGAGCTCATACATTTTTTATTTTAACATCTACAAATCCATGCCAAATGTAAAAACTCCAGCTCTTTCAAACTCACACTTGACTCTTCAAAGTGTCATAGAGCTGAGTATGGTAAAGTTTTTAATGAGCAACCCCTTTTACATGAGTCATGTAATCCATTGTTAATTAAAATATTGATTATAGTGCATTCTCGTCATTTCACCCCACAAACGAGCCTCTCGTATCGATAATTCTGGATAACCGGTAATTAGAAAACAAACAACTGTGTGCGATGTAATAGTATAACACATAGTATTTGTACAAGCATGCAAAACTGTATCATAGAAAAGGGATGAACCTTTTGAAAAATATGAGAAAAATATAAAAAAGTTTGTTTGCATAAGTTTTCCTTTTTTATAAAAAAATATAATAAAATGATCATGGTGGGATTTTTTCCATGAGAATCCAACACAAAGATTTTTTCCTAAACCTTTATAGAATTGGATTTGTAGGCGTTGCAATCTTTGCTGCACCACAATACTTAATGTAATACTGAATTGCATTTTGACAAACTATTTAGATATCAGTACAAATCTAAGTTATTATTGTGCCTATATAGCACAATATCAATGTATTGTACAAGTAGAGGGCAAACTTATAAGTATAGACATAGTATATGATTTATGCAAGTAACGATATATAGCAAAGCACAATGTATAGTATAAGCATATATCAATTGTGTATCATACTTTCAATGAACTACGACAGCCTGTAGCATACTAAACTATTCTAACACAACAGTAAGAAGTCCTACAGTTACTATACTATAACGTGAAGTGTCTTTACAACCCTGACCTTTGAACAACTACTGCTTTAGCCGGCACATGCCACACACACAAATACATCCCTTTAGGAAATAATGAAGAGAAGAAGTAGCTAGTTCAGTTTAAACGGAAGGGAAGTTGCAAAAGTGTTGGGGCGTTAACTGGCTGGGGTAGTAAGTGTGAGCAGGGGAAGGAATAAAACTGTGAAAGTGTCTTCACTTAACAGTGCCTGGAGGATGAAGAAGATAACGCCTTTAAACTCAGAGATCTGTCCGTGAACCCTGTGAAGAGAAGAAAGTGTTCTTCTCTGCTGTACAGACACAAACACAAGAGGATAACGCATGACTAAACATTTTGTAAAATGTATTCTACTTTCTGCACACACACATCCTTCCTTGTGAAGCTGCTGATAAGACAATGTGTGGCTCAGGCCTTATCACTGGGCACAGCTGTGTGAGTGGGAAGAGAGCTGAGTATGTAAAACAACTCGGGAGTGATAATGTTCAAGGACCAAAACTGTCCAGGGCTTATTGTTGGCAGTTGACGTTCATTACTGCTCATGTTTTGTACAGCATACAGGTGCCCGAGTGAAGTCAGTGAACCAAAATGAAGGACTGTGAAAAGAAACTGGCGAATAAATTCCTTTTCTCACCAAAATCCATCTGCACGCATCCAAGAGAAATCCAGGAAAGATGGACTGTTAAGCGGCTTCAAGCGGCAAAATGCTGTAAACACTCTGAGACGTGCATACTACAGATTCTTACACCAATTCTTCAATAAGGAGTCTCAATTTACTGTGTTTTTAACAACTTGGGTCCTTTTTTTTCTCACTTTCCATGCTTCACAGCACATTTGCTCTCAGGCCTGACAGCAGATTGTTGTATTGGAGGCAAAACTATACACTTAGTTAATTCGGCTAGAAGATCATTTTAGATGTCAGAATAAGAAAGGCACAGGTACAAACAAAAACACTTTAAACAAAAAAACAATACATACTTCTACTACTCCCTAAAGTTATTTCAAGACATTTGCTCATTTCCTTCTTGACTGTCTAAATGTTTCCGAAGACTTTTGAGTCACATCTGTAGTGCCTTCTAACACAGTGAACATAACACAATAACATAACACAAGGGTTAAGAAAGCAACGCATGAAACTTGGTGGAAAAACAGCTTTGGCTAAATTCCGCACACACCATGTACCTTAAACAGTGGAGCTGTTGTGCAGGCAGCTTATGTTTGTCAGTCTGAGGTCAGCAGTACAGACACAGAGGTGTTGCTCAGAAAAACTGACCTCGCTAGAATGTGTCTGTTGCCATCACTGTTTGCTTTTCATAGATAAAAACAGTCAGGAATGCGAGGTTGAAGCTGGATTTAAACCTCTGAGTCAAGGTGCACTCACACAGCTCACAGAAGGCTACTGAAAGATCAACAGAAAACATGTTGAGCATTTACACAACACCAGCTAAAACATGATTTCCTCAGAAAACTATATTTGATTATTTGACTGACACGGTGCCAAATAGAGCAGATGTGATGCACACACTACAAAACCATGCATGATTAAGCATGCATCGTACAGCCAGGTGAGGTTCAGTTTAGCATGCTGAGGAGTTGGACACAAGCCAGGCCCGAAAGCAGAACGATATGCAAAGGCCTTGTGTGACCAAAAGCATTTTTAAATCACAGCTCACTACATGCTCTCAGGTCTGATTTAACTATGGACTTTTCGGTTAGAATAAAATCTTCAAGTGGTTTTACTGCTCTGTTTTATAAAAGGTTTATGAAAAAGGTTGTTTGTCATAATGATTGGACAGGAAATCGATATTGTTTTATGCTGTACAAAACATGAGCAGTAATGAACGTCAACTGCCACATTACAATTCATCCAATGACCCAATACATCAGACAGAGCTGACAGACCTCAACAACAAACAACCCTGGAGACTGTGTGTAGGATTTTATATAATACTGGTCACACGGCAGGGGACTAAAATTCTCAGAAACAGCTTAGGACAACAAAACATTTCCCACTCGTATTGAACTAAAGACATGACTGAAAACATTTCTAATTTCAGCAAGGATACCTTGAATTGAAACGTTAAATGTTTTCTTTGAGAGCCTGAAGAGCATCTTTTTTTACATCGTCATGCTTTGAAGAGCATGCAGGTAACCATTAGTGAGTCCTTACAATATCAGCAGCGAGGCCTGTAAACACTGGGTGGCTAATGGCTTCATGTTCCTCGCTCCGTGTGAATGCAGCGTTATGAACATGTGAAAGCTTGATGTTTTTAACTTAGCAATTACAAAAACGTGCTTCATTGGGCAAAGTGGGGTGAAGTCTGGGTCTTCTTTTAAAGTTCAGTCAATGAAAGAGTGAATCCTCTGACTTGAATCTTTCGTCTGAGTAAGTAATGCTGATTGGCATCCATGAAGGCACTGCCGAGTACCGAGGTAACAAATCCCGCTGCACCGGAGCGAGTAAGGAACATTCATGAACCAAAGGCACCAAAGTGGGCCTGTGTAGTGATGCGTGTGTGTGTGTGCGTGTGTGTGTGCGCGTGTGCGTGTGCGTCCTCAGTGGAAATACATACAAATATCTCAGAGGGAACTCACTTCCAAAGCGTCTTAATACATGCACAACTTAAGTCAAATATATTCATATGGCAACCCTAATCTAGTTTTCACAGATGCTGAATAATTAATTTGTTAGATTATAGAAACCTTGGTTTGTAATTATTAAAGGATTTAATAAGGATTATGGATTTTTGTCCTGCAAGAACACAAAGCTGATGTATGACTGACAGAACCGACAACCAGGGGGTGTCCCCATGTGGGCAGCTTAAAATCAAAGTCTTCATTTAACCCCCCATGATTTCCCACATTTACATGCAGCAAAAAAAAGTAACATCTGCCCAAAAAAAGTCTTGTATTTATATGTAGTGGATTGTGAAACCCGATACAAAAACCTTTTTTCAAAGGCTTTTTAATTAATGTTTGAAAAAAACTTCTACATTATGATTTATTTTGAAAACTTTTGGGCACACTATGGCAGAAGTTTTGTCACTCCACAACAAAACACCCAACTGTCATGTGTGTAAGTGCTAGGTATGTTTGAATAAATGTGGATGTATCAGGTGTCTGTTATTGTGTATGTGTAGTGTACAGTATACTGCATTTATGAAAGGATTTGCAAACTGTGGAAACATTTCTTGAAAAGGACAACAAAAAACTATTTCCAACCACCAGGTTATTCCGCCTGGGGACAGGTCAATGATACCTCCTTAAAATGAGTTAATGATATTTGTTCACAGAAAATGTTTCTGCAACTGGTCCCAGTTTCTTTAATTTAGATTATTTCTGGTTTTCTAAACTTTCAAATAAGGGCATTTTTGGTCTGTCTGACATCTTGGGAGGGGAACTTTGACAATTATCCTACATGAATCACAAAATAACAACTAAAAAGTAAAACAATAGTTGGTTTCAGAACCAGGTTTTGTCAATCCAGGCATCAACTCATGTATATTTCCATATTATACACCTATTAAATAATGACCCTGTAACTCCCTGCAGTGTGTGCACTCACTCGGTCTTGCTGCGGGTCTTGTCCACGCTGAGCTCCAGCAGGTTGATGACCGCCTGTCCCAGCAGTTTGTCCGGCCCCACCAAGGCCCGGTGCAGGACGTGGACATGCAGCGTGCTGCGCTCCGGTCCTCCTCGGCCGGGCGGCGGAAGGTCGAAGGCCGCCTCCTCCTTCCACACCGGGGCCACGCTCTTCTCCACCACCGAGGTCTGGAACTTCTCCTTGCCCACTTGCATGATAGCGTACGCATCGTTGGTGCCGTTTTTCCCCTTTATCCGGAGGCCTCTGGATTGGAGTACCGTTACCTGGACGCTTGTGGGACACCACTGCAGATCCGCCAGAGACATGCTGAGAACTGGACCGCACAGAATTTAACTCCAAGACGCAGTGAAGTCTCTCATGGGTTCACTGTGAGACTGCACTGAAGCGACTGGAGGAAAAGTTTTTTGCCGTGAGCTCCGGTGATTTTGAGGAAACAGCTGATAGGGCGTGGTTACACCGAGAGGGGTCCTTGGTGGAGACGAGACACTCCTCCAGATTAGCAGATTACATGAAAATCTGCGTGGCACATTCACTCCACAACAATGATTTACAACAGGCCACACATGATGCCTGTTGACAGCTGACAGAGAGCATCAGCTGTATTCAAATGACTGGTTGATACGGGTGACAGTGTTTAATCTGCATAAAATTGGAGTCATTGGATTGGATGGATTATTCTGGTCATCAAATGTAAACACATTCTAGTGTATTCTTTAATAATTTACTGTCAGTTACATTGTTTTCTCCTGCTTTAACAACTTTATTATCCACTGTAAGTCTAAAAACATGAGATTTGTGATCCAATGTTGGAGATAGGCCAGGATACCTGACAAGCCTGACAGCTGATAGGTTGTATTCAGTTTCACAAGCAGCTCCAGTTTGAATCTTAATCAGGCTGCAGTGCCAGTGTCTGCATGGATTTCAGATTCAGGACTGAATGCCTTGATACATGTGGAATGTGTTTGTTATTCCTTCTGTTTTAGTGGATGAATAGACTGGCTTTTTAAGAGTTATTCCCCTGCATTTAACTCACCCTCATTCCCATGAGTTTGATTAGATGTTTTGGGGGATCTATGTATTCAAGACAGCTGTATCTTTATTTTTCATGCCACAATATGTGATATGGTTTATGTCTAACAACACTGACTCCTGCTGTTGTAAAGAGAGCAAATTAACACATTGCATCAATCTAAATCTTGAATCCTTCATAGACTATTCTAACAACCACAGACAAACACATTTGATATGTAAATGAGCATGGTTTACATGGTGTGTCAGGCCTGAACATGTTTGGTCTCACTTTCACCTCTCCCTTGTTTTTAAGATTAAGGGCAAAGACACTTATAGAGCCTTGAGCCAATTAGCAAGGTGACTCACGAATGTTGGCACGGCCCCTGTCTGCCTGTGATGTAATGACTGTAGTACTAGAAACTCAACATTTTTAGACTTTCTTTTAGATGAGAATGTGTTTTAATCAGATATACAACAAGCTCACATTGCAGTACAATGAAGGTCACTATAGGACTTTGGTCTATGATCAATCCATTTTAAAGCAAAGACAAACTGACCTTTAAGCTTTTGCATGTCTTTCAAAGTTTGAGCTTTCTGTACTGTACTGTAAGTGTAACTATTCTCCTAGCTTTAATCATACAAACAACGTAAATACATATACATTTTACACATAAATATGAAAAATTAAAAATATTTTCCTTCAGGCTGGTAAAAGTAACAGTCACAGTACTGACATATATTAATAGATATTTCTACTTCTTATAATTCACATCCACCATCATGTTATAAGATGTAAGACTCTTTATTTATAATGGCCTATATTCTCTGTGTCCTCATTGTTCTTTTGTTGGATCTTGATTTCTTTCATCCTCTTCTGGATTTTCATCCTCTAAATGTTTGTCGTCACCTAGGTCCCCCTCGTCCTGCTCACCTAGAAGAACTTTACTGTAAAGGTTCTGCTGCTCTTCTTTAAAAGCATCTTTCACTTTTGCTCGTTTCAGCCCTCCATCCCTGAAAAGACACAGTTAAGAAAGAAAAAGGAGAATCACACACAGACTCAACTCAGTTAATTAATACTCAAACGTTTCTGTTAAAGCCAAAAACTAAATACAATCCGTTTTGGTAATCAGCAACTGTGTTTAATACAATTGGAAACCTCTCTTTCCAAAAACTACTACACTTTTTTCCTGATCTACATCATGACTTCAGGTGCGTTTTCCAGCCACCTGTTTTTGCGTATTTTCAATTTTCAATAAAAAAATATTCCCAATTTTTTGTTAGGCTTGGCTAATTTTAGAAACTGTTTGAAGAGATAGAATCAAAATGCGACAAAGCATTAGCTTAACATACTGCTCATCTCAATTAACTAAGTGAAAAAAGAATGGACATAAATGCAACGGTCATGAATGCTAACATGCAAAAAACTGCATTTCTTTTGGTATTTTTGTATTTATTATTTTCACTACATTTGGATGGAAACTTAGCTATTGACTCACCAAATGAGATCCACTAATCCTCCTTGTGCAGCTATGGCAGCTTTCACTCTGTTTGCAAACTGCACCGCATCCTCCCCTTCCTGCACAGGAAAATACAAATCGACAGGCTAAAGAAAGGAGGGTAAAGTATTCCAGTCAATGGAATAAACAATAGATCATCGGAAAGATCTATCACTGAAGTTTAATCGTTCAAAGTCTTCATTGTCATCTGCACAATATCTAAAGCCTAGCTGTTGGCCCAGGCTCCTCCAACAATGCAATATAATTACAAAGAGACAAGCAACCTAAAATAAAGAAAGACAATGGTGCAAAGGGCTTTATGGTGCATTCAGGAATTAGCAGGCAAAAGTAAACTGTACAGATAAAGTCAAGTGAGAGTGCAAAATGAAATACAGTACATTTTTGATAAAGTCCTGTATATTGTTATTGTGACAAAGAGCTTCACCTCTCTGTTCATGGGCGGCAGGTACCAAACGCTGCAGACAACGGCCCAGCTGCTCATCATCCTCAGCAGATAATACACCATGCCAAACTTACTGCTGTTCCAGAAAGCATCCCCAAACCGAGGATCATACTGCAAGACCAAAATAAAGTTATATAGGATGGCAAAATGTGTAGAAAGGAGGTAAAAGACCAAAAAAGTTCCTACCTTTATAGCAACTGGATAGACCGTGCAGGCAATTTCAAAGCTGCCCTTTTTGAACATCATCACTGATGTGTTGTTGATGCAAGTACCTGCAGCAGACATAGCGATAGCGTGAAGACTTTATTGACACAAAACAACACAATGCTATGGGCTTTACACGTATGTATACATATATATATATATAAATCATCATACCCTCTGGGAAGATCAGGATAGGTTGTTTCGTTTTGTCGGCAACATGATCACTTAGCCTAAAATGGCAAAGCAGAAGATATCAATATGTTTTTAAAGACTCTCGCCATTAACCTCTAGGCTTCCAGTTAAATGAAATTCAATATTAACCACTGCTTTTATAGCAACCCAAATCAGTATAAATGTATACCCCATGATCCATTTCAAGTTAAAATATCACTTGAGTTGGAAATGTCATTATATATATTATATATATAATGACATATATATATATATATATGTGGTTATATTCTTAAATGCCTCAACTCAATTGGTATCAACAAGAAGCATGTGAACAAATTGTATTATGTAAGAGCAACGCACTGTACCTCAGCCACATCATAGACTCTATGCATTACATTAATGCACACAATATTTACAATTATTTTGTTTGTCATTACTGCACATATTTTATTCTAATTCTATTTCTACGATTTCAATCATATTCAATGTAATGTATTTCTTCAAATAGTATTCTATCTGTGTTTTTAATTTTTGTTTTACTTTTATGTATGCACCACAACACAAGTCAAATTCCTCGTATGTGTTAACCTACCTGGTAATGAACCTGTTTCTGATTGTGATTCTAACACTGAGAAGATGCACTGTTACCTCTTGGCCACTAGATGTCGGTCTTTGACTTCTGAGCGTTCAAACCAGATGTGAGGAGAGGACTTCACCATGGCTCGTTGGATCATTCCCATCAGCCCTCCATGCACCTGGCCGACCTGAGAGACCAGTTCAGCACAAGTTCATCTAAAAAACAACAGCTCTACTTATCTCTAATTGGTCATAATCATTTACTCTGAAAACACACACATTCCCTCACTCACAGAAACACACACACTTTTCTACCATAGAGTAGCAGCCGTCATTAGCCAAGATGATGACATCAATGGGTGTTGTGTGATTGGACACACAGATCCCTCCATTCTTCGGTTTGTTCTCTCTGAAATATGATATAAAAACCTGTGAATATTACAGTTCGGATGATCATAATGTTCTAATTCCATCTCTGTCTGAACTGGTTTTGTTTCATAATATCGAACATACTGTACCTGTTATGATAAGTGATGATTGCTGTGAGAGCTCTCACACAGATGCGGTGACACATCAGATGAATCTTCTCACTCAGGGAGAACCTTAACCTAAACACATGCAGCATAACAACAATTACTCCAGTCCCCTTAGGGTGCACTCTTCAAGGTTATAACTTGGTTCTAATATATGTATCATGTAGCTTTAGTTTCTATCCTTGTTAAAGGGACTTTGAATTGTTACTGAGAATTGAGGGAAACTTACTCTCTATTTGGTAAAAAGCCCAGCAAAGTAGTCAGAACTACAAGGAGACCGATGCCAGTGACTGCCAGAGTAACCCTGCAGAAGAAAGCAGATCAGATTGTTATGTTAAACTTCACTGCAGTCAAATAAAGTATATATCATCTTTACCTAGTTAAATAAAGGATATATATATATATATATATATATATATATATATATATATAGGGTGATGAGATCAGAAATATGGCAACATACATTTACAGATAATTCGAAAACCTCAATAGAAGCCTCACATCTAAAAAGCAAAAGATATTGGGTACAATCTTACACATATTTTTCTTAAGACTGAACTAGTTTTTGCACGATGAGGATGTACTTTATTACTCCCTCGACCCCATCACCTGGCTGTGATCTGACCTGAGAGGCAGCAGCACTCCGTAGCGGACGAGCACTCCGAGGCCCCAGATGACCGTGAGTCTCAGACTGATATGACGGAAGTTGTAGTTGCTGCGAGTCAACAAGTTCCAGCTATCCAGTTCCTGGGAAGAAAAGCGCTTCGTCACCTCGTCGTCCAGGATGCTCTCCACACCTCTCCGGCAGAAGAAGAAGATGTCGGCCATCTCAAACTGAGGCTCTGAGCGCGGACAGCTGGCAGAACTACGGAGCTCCTGGAGATCCTGCTGCAAGGACGTTGGTGGTTTTTTGGCTCTGATTCCTACAATGAGAACAAAAAGAAGACATGCATTTGACGAAATAGTCAAAGTGATACGAGTGAGAAATATTCAAATATAACTTGTTTACCATTACTACATGGTTTATAGAGTTGCTGGTTCTTCTCTTTTGCTCCCATCTCCATTCGTGAGGTTGCCCACTAATAAGAAAAACATATTTTTTATAACTGAAAATAACATTGTTACATTTTTTAAGATGACAGATTCAGAGAATATATTTTTCGGAGAAGCTTGCAGATGACTAAACAATACAGAGAAATTTCAGAAACATGATTGTGTTCCAGAATCCCGCTTCGTCTGACATGGAAAATAGGTCACAATTTTGGCCTCTGTGACACATAAACCTGGGGAGAGGACATTCAAAGAATCATCTATGATGTGTTCTTGGAAAAAAATGTGTTAAAGCCCATAAAAAACAAACGATACACAATTATTACATACAAACACTCCTACACAATCAACTATTTACAGAGCTGCTGCATGAAGCAAAGATAATTATAAATGCTTAGAAGCCCTGTAAAAAAACATAACTGATATGGTGGTGTAGATAGGTCCAAAAGAAACAGAAAGCCAGCTTGCCATACTATTACCCATGTATACCACTTCACTAAAGGAGTTACCCAGAGCTAAAATAAAATAGTAAAACAAACTAAACAGCAATGTTGGTAAAATGGCAACTAGCTGCCTTCAACAGTTCTAATACAACCTTTGGGAAATTAGTAAAACAGTTAGCAGTCTCGTTGCAACCTCAGTTATTTCCCTAATTCTTGTGTAAAAGGGGAGTTCTTACAACTCCCTCAGGACTTGAGAGGAGAAATGCCTTTTGTTCTCCGCAGCACATCACAAAAATCTTCCAGCAGTAGATACTAATCATCCCAGAGGTCTAAGCTCCCTGCAGTCTCCACAGCACCCTCAGATAGTGGTCCCATGGCTAAAAGTGTGCGATGTGTCCTCAAATCCCTAGGAAGAGGAGGCAGCATCATGGCCTCTACCTCTAATAGCCCCCCTGAGCTGGAGACCCAACAGATCCCATTCAGCAGGGGATGGATTTATTATTTGGGGAAATCAATGAGATTTACACTGTAGCAGTTCAGTGGCAGGATATTTGTTCCGACATGTTGTTAACTTAACACCATAAGTAAGGCAATTTGTGTTTGGTACTGTAGATGATTTCTTTGTTGTAACAATGCTTTTTGGCAATACATCTTATACCGTTGGAAAGCCTGTTTTCTTGCCTTTCCAATGGTACCACATTTGTGAGGAACAAGCATTTGTGGGATGAGCAGCAGAGCTAAGTATGAGGGTTGCGCCCATGAAAGATTCTCTGCCAATGCCAAACAGCAGCCACTCTCTGGTCTCATACGGCTGCCAGGAGCCTGCCCTTCACCTTCAGGCCCACTTGCACTGGAACCTCAACATGTGGAGGAACATTTTGTTCAGCGATGAGTCCAGAATCTGCCTACATCAGTTGGATTGTAGGGTCACAGTGTGGAGAAGACGCAGAGAACGCTTTGCTGATTGCTGCACCGATAGAGTAGGAGTGGAGAGGATGGGATGGCCTGCCTGCCTGTTCCTCACAAATGTGTTACTTTTAACAGGTAAGGTAAGAAAACAGGCTTTCCAACAGTATAAGATTTATTACCAAAAAGCATTGTTACAACATAGAAATCATCTACCAAACACAAATTGCCTTACTGTTTGTGTTAAATGTATAATAAATAAACAAACCCCTGGTCCAAAACCATATCAATACAAATGACTTTGATTATGTATCGTTCTAAAAACATGGTGCATTACACAGAGACCAAACTCACCTCAAAGATCTTGAGAAGGGTCCTCATGTAGAGTCTGCGGATACCAAAAGATATTCCAAGGACGGCCGGCACCATTATGAAGACAATTAGAAGAGTCAACCAGACGGTGATGAAGATGCAGAGACACCTGCACAGCAGGTTCTCAACAGGAATTGTGAACCAAGCCATGCTGCTCACAGACTCCTGGTTAGTTTAAAGAGACGCCGTCCGAAGCCCACGGTGGAACGAACATTAGGAGAAACTCATTGTCTGCGTCTGACAAAGACAGATCAAATGATCAAGATTAGTCATAAAAAAGGACAATGTTTAGAATCCCTTTCAGGTGACTTGTGCTAAATTGTGATTGACTTATATTTTGAACAATATCATTTTTTGCTGTTGACCAATAATGGGTATGATATTAGACACATGTGGCACCCTCATATATTATTAGATGCCAGACACAATACTTTTTTAATCCAGCATCAGGGTCTACAGTTTTCGCCCTCCTTTTCTTTGTATTTATCTTGTTTATTTGAGGTCCTTTGTCGGAGAGTGTATGGTTATGTTGAATTTAAAAAAATAGATAAAAAGGTTTAAAGAAAACTAAATTAATATTGTCACTAGCTATGAATTGAATGATAAAAAATAAATGTAAGAATACATTTGAAAGTACATTACCAGTTAAACCTCAGAGCAGAGGGATGCAATTAACACTGAAAGGTTGAATAATAAAAGCTAGTTACTCTAAATAAATAACCTACTTTGATACAGTTAAACTATATATCATTAACGTTATGGTACAACAAGCAGGGCTATCTAGCTACAATAATGTCACACATTATCACCTGCATTACCGTATGTATTACCAACATAATAAGAATTAACAGCAAACAGCTACTGCTTTCTATGCATATGGTTTCACCACTAGTGTAGCCTACTAGCTAATGTTAAGTTACTCTGTCGCAGTATGCAATATTTATCAGCAAGTTTCCATGAGTTAGTTTCGCAACATGCTAGCATACAAGAAGGTAGCTGCTAGGTTAATAAAGCTTACTGTGACCAACGGCTAATACTGTGTAAGCTACCTGGTAACGGCTTTTACCGTCCCCCGGTTCTAACGGTAGTGTTGTGGCGGCGGAGGAGTGGGGTGACAGTCGGTCAGCAGGTACAGCAGGTGTTTCTCCATCAGGACAGTCCCGGCTGTAAAACCGTTACATGTATCTGTGTGCAGCTGCTGGCTTTATTTACAGGTTTACCATAGCAACATGACAAAAGATGACCAATGAGAGCCGCCGTCACTGTGGGCAGGAAGTGCACAGTAATCTGATTACAGAGCTTCCATGAAACGAATATAACCTGTTTATTGTCAATGTAATACGCTCACACTGGAAATAAATACCAAGAAGAAAACACATTATAATAATACATTACATTACATTTTAGTGACGCTTTTATCCAAAGCAATACATTATTATCATCACATCGACTAGTATCCATTATTAATAATGTTTAAAAAATGATAATGCGCTTGGCATTTATGATAAGAGCTACTTATTATATAACGTTTACCTAAAGAGACTAATCTATGAAGAAAAATAACCTTAAACAACAAAATTGCCTGCAAGCAGTTATAGTTGTATCCTTTGAAAATGTATTTGGATTTAATGAGAAGGTGAAGATGGTCTACTACTGTGTCCTGTTACTGTTAACTTAAAGGGGACCTATCATGCAAAATGCACTTTTGTACGTCTTTTATACATGAATATGTGTCCCCGGTGTTCCAGGGAACTCACCAAGTGTCAGAAAACACAACCCTCTCTCTTTTCCTACATACTCAAATCTCTAAAAAAGGGGCTGCAACGGATCTGATAAAAACTGATCCAGATTTGAACACTGTCCTGACGTCAGGAAAGTGGCACTACGGCTATTGGGCCAACTCTCCACCTATCAGGGGAATGTGGGGTTGGGCCACGGCCGGCCATTGCCGCTCGAAAGCGCTGGAGACGCTGTAGTACATATGCCAGGCCTGTAAGTGGCGCTGTAGTCTGCCACAAAAGCAGTGAAGAAGACTTCCCGCGCATGGTTGCTATGGTTACCCTTCTGTTTATTCTCCGCTGTGGCTTTTTTTTCTCCCTCCCCGAGGCAAGCGTTTGCTCCCGCTGCTGTAATTCAATGCAATCCCTCCCCGTCGAGGCAAGCACTGTAATTCTCTCCGGTTAGTCCACCAGCAGATGACAAACACCCACCTCTCCGCCTCTTCCAAGGAACGAGGGGACCGTGCGGCAGAGTTTCAGTTAGGTTTTCTTTCGCCGGTCAAGATGTCCGTTAAAGTTTAAATCTTCCGGACAAAATTAGAAAAGTGCCGGTCAAAGGTCTTCTTTGTTATTTATTGAGCTTTAAAACAAATGAATAACGACTCTATAGGCCTATAATAATATAATAAAACACGGAGGACGGAGAATTATTTTTCTCCCCCTCTTCTGACTTGATCAGAGCACGGCTCCCCTCTCCTGCAGGGGGGCGTGGTCAGCTGCAGCTCACAGAATCAGCCCTGTGCAAAAACAGTGCTGGAGAACAGCAAATAGAGTGAAATGAGGCATGGCTAAAATGCATGATCTGTTTGGTATTTTGAAAACAGAAACGTATAAATATACCTTATATAGGTATGGCCCTACAATATATCATTTAAATATAGCATGATAGGTGTCCTTTAACACAATGAGTCATTATAGAAAGGACTCTGTGTTTAGATCATTAAGAACACTTGTCAGATTGCTGTTTAATACATTTTTGTAAATGTCAGAGATGTTTTGCATCTTTTCTAGAAATTATTAATTTTGATAAACCATGAAAGTTTGATTAAGCTTTTTCATTTTGGCTTTTGCAACATCCAATCTCTTAAAAGGAATGTGTCTAATGTTGCTGATTTCAAGCCATATGCATACTGTGTTGGAATTAAACCCACATGGTCCCACACTTTATTCATTTAACTTGTCCAATATTGATTGTCCATAGAAACGAATGGATACCTGTCATACAATCAACACTGAGAATTGTCTGTGGTTCAAACCTTACCTTAGAAATGTTCACCAGAAAGATAGACACAAAATATAATGTGTCTGTCTGGACAGATACGTGTCCTCACAATAATTTGTATTTAAGACAGAAAAGTTCCAATAAAAATCTTTATTTAATCTGCTACAAATGTCAGTTGTTTCTTGCATGCATAGTTTCACACATTTAAGACAAGTAAAAACACAAAGTAAGATTTCCCTTTGGAAGAATGTCTCAACATTATAACATGCATAAGCCCCCCCATGTCCATTTATGAACAGTCAACCGAGAATTTAGCTGCCCCATCAACTTGGAAGGGCATTTCAAGTAGCCATTTTAAAACATATAATCCAATGGATTGTACTTCTAAAACACAATGTACACACTTAATACACTGAATAAGACTCATGTTTTTCTTGTAAACTTTCTTTGGCTTTTTCCATAAAGAAGCAAATGCGGCTTCTTCACAAGTATACATAATCATGGCAGAAGGGTAAAAAAAGAAAGATATTAGAGTTTATGATAGGGGCAGTTTAGTGGATGAGGTTGATTGTTCAATTCATCTTGAGGTATTAAAGTTAAATCACTTCAGGATTGTTTAGACTCACGAAACCCCAATAAAACAGGCAAAGTTCATGAAGCTCTCTGAAAAAATTAAAGCATAAACAGAATTTCTCTTTCATTTACAGTTTAGTTTTAACGCTCTGTGGTATCTGTCAAACTTCGTGAATTCCTGCAAGCAAAATTCTGAATAAATAATACATGTAATAAAAAAGGCATATCGCAGTAGTCAAGATTAGAAACTCACTGTAACTCAAGAGAATTTCCTTCGAGATTTTTTTGCAGTTGATGCACACTGAACATGACATTTATCACAGTAAGATAGGCATAATGTTATTAAAATCAGCAGAACTGCATAAGTGCTACATTGTACATAATTACAAAACAAATATTGGCTTTCCTTAACCAGGGTATGACCATAGTCTTAGGGGACATTACACTGACAGTAGGTTGGAAAGAGACAACATTATGCACAAAACACAAACACAAACACACATCTTTGATAGAATCACATCAAATATTTTCATATTGCCATTTTATGTTTGTGCTTTAGATGTCCTCTGCTTTAGCAAAAAGTGTGCTGTGTTAGTTCAGATGTTTGCTGGCTTACAGCTGTAGTTAAAAATGTGTTTTTTAAAATGCTACATTTATTAACAGTGTTATAAACTCCCCTGCCTTTCTTGGTCTGGTGGGAGGCGGGGCTTAGCTTCCACCTACCAGACCACACCTGATCCCATTTAAGGCCTGTAATCAGCCCTGCTCAGTCTCTCCCGTGTCTGTAGCATCAAGCTGATCCCCGTGTGCTCTCTTCACAAGCTGAATATCGATGCATTATTTGAGTAAGTTGTGTTTACGTTCATTGGTGATTAGGTTTATTGATAGCTTGTTTAGGCTTATCTGGCGAAAGCAATATTTGAATTGTTTGTTACAGAGTATTGTAGCTCTTCCTGATTTCCAATTGTGTTTATATCCTAGCCTTGAAATCATCATCACCTTCATCATCATCACCACCATCATCATCATCACCACCATCAGCTACATCAACTGTCAACTGCATGTGAAGCAAATAAATGGTTAAACTGCTCTCATCGTGGGTCCTCATACTTTGACTGGTATGCCAATGCAGAGGCACTTCAGGCAACCCTCCCTAAAATGACAGCCTAGTTTTTACATGGTCCTTTGAGCCGGAGTGCTTAGGCATTGGATATGGACCCGAGAGAGAAGCAGGATGAAGAGGGACTTTGGCGGGGAGTACGGAACAGATATGCACCCTCATATCTGCAGCACTATGGAGCTTCTTACCCTCCCCCATCCACCCAAGAACATAACATTAAAGAAATCCGCAATATGGTCATGCAGCTTCTTGCTAGGCAGGACGCTTTACAGAGGCAACAAAGCTCATATATAACTTGTCCCTCAAGCTGTAGTGGTGAATATGACACAGATTGTGAAGATAATGTTCTACCCCAAACCCAGATATGTACACACAGTGCATATCAACTGATGCTCCAAGTGCCCCCCATGTCCAGTCGGCCCCCCGCTGGACTGATGCTCCAAGTGCCCCTCCAGTCCAGTCAGCCCCTCGCTCGACTGGAGCGTCGGGCACCTGGTATTGGGGGAGACCCACAAGGGGACGTGGGGGATACTCTTGGGGCACCTGTAACTGGGGAGGACCCACAAGGGGATGTAGGGTGGACGCTTGAGGCACCTGGTACTGGGGGAGACCAACAAGGGGATGTGGGGGAGGAGCTTGAGGCACCAGGAACTGGGGAGGACCCACATGGGGTTGTGGGGTAGGAGCTTGAGGTGCCAGGAACTGGGGAGGACCCACATGGGGATGTGGGAGAGGAGCAGTTAATCTCTTTTTTAACAATAATGTCTGAGTGACACAGAATTGACAACAAACAGTGTTTGAGCATCCCGCCCAAACATCCAGTTGTACCATTGAGTCAACATCAGCATTAAAGATGTTGGTATTTTTAAGGAAAATGTGTTTTTTAAATAAACTTTGTAAAAGTTACAAATGCAGCTGTTGGTTTTGATTATTTTCTAAGAAATGAACAGTGTTGCTTCTGGCTGTGGTAAACAGCCTGTGTGCTTCAGCATGGCAGTTTCAGGGCGGGGTTGATATGTTTTCGTTTCCATTGAAAGCTCAGTAGTTCAAGATCCGTTGGTGCTCTGTGCTGGTCTCTTTCCTCGTGCTCCCACACCAGAGTTCATGTCGATTCTCTGTCAGGACCTCATCGAGACATCATCCGCACAAACTCTGGGAATTAAAGGAAAGAGCTGATTTTTTTTTTACCAAGCGTTTGTTAATTCACCTCAATAGAATATTTGATGCTGCACAACTACTCCTTTATACATATATGATACAATTATTGTTAATGTAAAGAGACTGTCATTTTAGTGCCAAATCTCCATTATCACTTAACTTTAGTTGATCTCAACTCACAGTATCAAAACATTGTATTGTTTTCAGTAAAAACAGACACAATAACCATTTGTTTTCTAAAATTATTGATTGGTAACAAACACTCTCATCATAGATCCAAACAGAACTTCTCACTTTGTATATGACTTGGTTGCTTCCTGCCATGCATCCAATCCCATAAATCCCATTCAAAAGAAACATTTTGACCATGATCTACTGTGCATGTAGGACTTTCAAAGATCAGTCTCTTTTTTGTGGAGAGGAGTGGACTCACTGTCACAGCTAAGGAACAATGGTTCTGCTGCTTAGAACCTCAGACATAGCACCAATCATCAAATACGTTTACAGTAAACGTACACCACCTATATGCATACATAAGGAATACAATCAAATTTTGCTTGGACATTATTTATGATGGGTTGTATAGAATTCAGGAAAAAATATGAAATGATGTCGATGTAAGTATCGTTTTACAACTGAGAGTAGCAGTGGTTTCTAATACTTTCATCCCTGATGTGTTTGCATATTTTCCTCTGTGGGTAATCTGTGAGGTGACATAATCCCTTGGTGCGGAGCTAATCTGACAGACAGACCGACTGTAGTGCCTTCATCCCCTCACCTCACGATCAGCGTGGTGTCCAGATATCAGATCACATGCTAGGGTTTTACTTTGAAGTGTCTCTGAGTGTGAGTTAAAGCGAGAGAGACTAATTGACAAAGTTATGATGTAAGCATGTTTGATTTCCAGGCTCTGCACGCTGTGAAATTTGTATACTGTGTATAAATAGCAAGGCATGGTGTGATGCACTGCATAGGATTCTTTACCTTCAAAGTCCACATGCCCATCTCCGTTGAGGTCGATGTCTCGTAGGATGTCCTCCAGGTCTCTGTGTCCGACCTGAAAGAGTCAGGTTGAGGGGAAGGTGTGAATAAACGGACAGGATCAGACGGACACCATGATTGATAAACAAAGAGGATAGATACTCTCTACCTGTTGGCCCAAAAGTTTTTTCATTGCTTCTCTGAGTTCTGCTGTGCTGATCTGTCCGTCACCATTAGTGTCGAACTGAGAGAGAAAAAAAAAAATGAAACACAGTTATTACATTAAAATCATAAAATACTATATTGTGAAAATCTATGTTTTTTTGTTCTCCATTTTATTGTCTGTGTGTTTATTACTGCATATTTCTAGGCTTATATTAAATGTTTTTTTCGAATGCAAAGGCTCTTTAATTATTTTGAAATACTAGGCCTACTGTATAAAATTAAATGCATTATGCTATTTCCCCTTTTCTTATGATCTAATCCTTAGCTTTTATCAACCACTATCAGCATATCTGAATTACCAAACCACCGGTAGAACATCCTTAGATTATTGCTACAGTATATGACATGATGTTTGGTAAGCTCTATATACGTGTTGTTGTTCTTACACTCAGTTTGCTTTTCTGTACATTTTTTCCCAATGTCTTTCCTCACCTCCTTGAATGCATCTCTCAGCTCCTTCACCCCAATCATGTCTGCGGTTTCAGCCAGAAGTTTGGGCCCCATGAGTTCAACAAAGTCCTCAAAGTCAACATGTCCCCCCACTGTTGGACAGGTTAAAAAGAATAAGATGGGTTAACCTTTAATGTAATCTAAGAGACACGAGATGTATTGCTTTATTTGTACTTTACCTAATAATTAGTCATAGCATGCACAACTGATTCTAAATCTTTTTCAGATGAAAACATGTATAAACAGTCACATTAATGCACATATGTGACCCGCTCTATCGAAATCAGTCGGAAGTCGCAACGGCTCATTTCAAAGTAAACGTGGATTTGTGTAAAAAACTAGTTTTTTGGGGTTCGGGTGTTTTATTTGATTTTAAATAAACAAAGTCTTGGCTTTCAGAATATGAAACTATTATATAAAAAAATCACACGATAAATACATTTTTGAAGCTTGTAAAGGGAAGATGACAGGCACCTCTCACTCACACTCTGCTCTTCCGGCTGAAATTATGAATGTAAGGGCGTATAGTATAGACATATTTTGCTTAATATTTGGAGTACAAAAACAATCATGATATCATTAGAAAGCTAGGAATCTCCTCTTTCCAACAGTGTAAACAACTCAAAATGTGTCTTCGGGTCAATGCGACTGATTTCGATAGAGCAGTTCACATATACAAGGCACAATTTTACTCACAATTCATGTTGATCTGCTGGCTCAGTTCAATAAGCTCCATCTCTGTTGGCATGTAACCCATAGTTCTCATGCAGTTCCCCAAGTCTTTACAGCCAATAAACCCATCTTTGTCTTTGTCAAACTCCTTAAAAGCCTCACGCAACTCTGAGAGCGAGAGACATCAAGAGATAATATGTGAAGATTATTTAAGAATATTGTAAAAATTAGAGTTATATCTATTCATTCTTTATTTTTTACTGAATTTACCATCCATTTCTTCGGGCCTCAACTCTCGGTCCTGTGAAAGATCAGTGAAAGGTCAGGATTCAAACACTGCTGGTATCTTTTAAATCATGCCAAAATGTAGCATTCCACAAACAATATGATACAATAACAGCAGGCATGTGCCGCAGAGTGCCAAGAGTCTGCATGTTTCCTTCCAGTCAGAGGGGAAGAGCTTTTCAGTGAGATCACCTGCTGCAGAAAACAAGCACTCCTGGCACTCTGTTACACCCTGTGGAAAAATAACACATTAGGGTTTTGGGAAAGTAAAAATATCAGAAACATGATGAAATGCAGAGGCATTGGAGGGACGCAAAGCTCACAACAGATGCTCCATTTCCCCGTCCATTAAATCAACATGACTCAATCTCAACCCCTGCATCCGTTATCTGAGAGTTTGTCTCCAGAAGAGTCATTAAAACAGCGGTCGTCTACCCTGAGGATTCACTGTTTTCTTAAAAGAACAAGACTTTGTCCAAACAAATTAGATTGGTTAGATAATCATGTTAGGAACATATCCGCCATTACCATAGCCCAGATTTAACAATTCTCCATCTTGCTACAAATGTCCACCATTGTTTGAGTAATGCTTCCTCATGCATAACTATACACACAGACACACACCCTTGCCTTCTGCTCCCTTGTCTTCTTGATCTCAAAAGGACTAAATCATATTTCACCTTCTAAAATAATAGCCTGTCATTTCAACCACGGTTTCCGTACATGCTGTTAGTGTTGATGTCACAGTGAGAGGTGATTACGACACACTTTCATCACATGTTTTTGTTATTACTGTCATGTGTTCTTATCTCTTGCCATGCATGCACATGATATTGTCTGGACTTACGTACAGCCTGCCGGCTCTCAGCGAAGCCCTTGCGTAGAAAGATGCACGCAGGCCCCAGTACGGTGTGCATGCTGGCTCCGTTCTGGGCCAGGGCCAATAGCGGCTCAAGATAGGCCCCCCCAGATCCCCCCTCCTCACAGGACTGCACTGCCTTGTAGTTCTTCTTTTGGTCCTGGGGCAGCATTTGGGACGGGGGGCCAGACATGGGAGCAGGAGCAAAGACAGGGGTAGAGACCGTGACTCAGATTATGGAAGCATGGAGTCAACAAGAAGGTGGGATGGTGGGGGGGGGGAGGGTGACGGGCATATGTCTGCCAGTCACAGAGAAGTGTGGAGTCAGGTCAGTCATGACCGAGGAAAGCACCGCAGTGAGAGGGGAGAGGGGGTCATTTGTCATGACATGAGCAACTGATGCCATCCATGAATCTGTGCTGCAGGTCACAAGGCTGCACAACAGAACACACCACCGAGCCTCTGTCGCAGGAGTTATAAAACATCTCAATCCCCTAGTGGCAGACTAACAGAATAATTTAACAAAACAGAAACCCTAACCCTCATCCCCCCCCAATGCCAATGGTGGAGTTTATTGCATAGCAAAAATAAAATGCCTATGTCCCACTGTCAGCCTCACCCAACTGCCCTTTTATTTTCAGCTTCCCATTTTCTCGCCTTAAAATAATTATTCCGATTTATTACAAAGGGCTAAAGTGTTTACTTTTGACTATCCTGTCAACAAAGATTATAGTTCAAAACTGCACCATCAAGAACAAAGTCCTAAAGGGTGATTCAAATACATTTTCCAGATTAACGTACTAGTATAATTATAAATAAAAAAACAGCTACATTTGTATGATTGTTCTGTCTTTCTTGTGGCAATGTCGCTTTACTGCGCAATCACACAGACTATAATATAGTACCAACCGCAATGCTTCAAAATTAAGAAATTGTATTCAGTAATCCTCTAACATGACACAGTCTAAATGTATGGGTAGTTTTATTGATGGTGCAGAGCTTAAAAGGTATCAGGGATTTTCAATATTTGATTTAAATCATTAAGAACCATGCTGGTAAGTTACTTCAATTTCAGTTTTTTGTGCCCACATTACACAACAATTGTTTTGGCCAGAAGTTGAGGCTAAAGTTCAGCCAGCCATTTCATTATAATCACCCATTAGCCAACTAACCAGGGGGCAAAAGTTGTTTCCCCAGCTGTCATCCCGACTACAGAGAGAGCTACAGGTTTATTAAAACGGGCAATCGCTATTCATGAGTGCACAGAAAAGCTTCATCTAAATAAAGCCAAACAAGGTCCAAACTGACTGTTATCTAAATGAGAGCGAGCAGCTGCCTGATCTTCGGCTGAATACAAGAGTATTAGAAATTGTTTTAATGCTCTGTGACTATTTACTTCAGTAGCATCCTTTCTTGGCAAACATTTTTGATAATCTCGGACAAGTCTTCAATTATTGCCATGTCAAATCCAACTCATGGAGAGAAATCCAGCTAAAGTGAGTGGAGGTGACTAACTGTCAGAGGGAATTACCAAGGGACCATTTTTCTGCCGCTTTAAACCTCACAGACATAGCACCCGTCTTCAAATGCTTTTACAGTAAAGGTTCAACACCTATATGCATATATAAGGAAAACATCATTATGCATGCATACATGTATACTGTACATTATTCTCTACAGATGACCTTCACACTCTTAATGCCAGTTCATGCATTGCTTCAGTCCCCACCACCACAATAACGGATGCCCACTGGGCAATCTGACCAAGTGATGCATGGAGCAGGGCTGTCTGTGGGCATATCGTGCCAGAAGAATACTATGAAGCCACGCGCTTGCACTTATATAACCAAAGGAAGAAGGGGAAAAAAGCAAGAACTTCTCAAGCACTCCAACCAATTCTGCACAGATGGCATCAACAGTTGCATGTCATATTGTGCTTCCTCAAGGATGTGCAGCTGTGGAAATGAAGGAACATCTATTTGTGGGATTGTCTGTCTGCTACACTGAGTTTATTAAAGCATACAGTACGCTGATACGATGAGGACAGCAGATGTAAGAGATTGTTCAAAACCAAGGTTATCTTCTTGATCTTCTTGAGTGTTTTTCCTTTGTTGGTCCTCAACTGCGCACTTGTATTGAAGTCCAACAGCTAAAGGATCTGATGTAGTTTAGGAGCACACCTGTGTTGTAGCATAATATCCTGCAGGTGCAGCTCAACAGAGTAGAAGCTGGCTGGTAAGGTAGCATCACTGCGGGATTTGACTGATGTTTGGTGACATGATCCAAATTCACCGACTTTTTTGCATCAGCACCAAAGCACTCTGAACAAAAGGCTAAAATGTTTTTTTTAAGGGATTGTAAAAATGCACTAATGAGCACGAGGGGATCTTAAAAGAGAGCATTTGATAAGAGGTCATATTACAGCTGCCCTACTCAATGCATAAAGTACAGTACATACATAATTAGTTTTCAACCCTCAATAAAGACAATCATTTCCTGACTAAATCTACAGGTTCATCTTAAAACAACTCTTCCAATATTGCCTCACATGCTAACTCAAGGTGACACAAAAGAAGGGAAACAGTTTTAGACAGCTTGTTAGTGAAGATCCAGTCAGAGCAGGTCCAGTCAGATCGCCTTCAGTCAGGTTGGGGGACACACCATGAGACAAACATGCACCAACACTCAGGGGATTCAAGAAGACCACCGCAGAGCTTACCTTCTTTCTAAGCGACTTTACAGAGTTGCCCATTGCAAAGAAAAAAAAAAGTCCTCCTTGTCTTAAGTTTTCTCTCTAACCGTGACTGTGTTACTGTATGTACGTGTAGGCATGTGTGTTTGCATATGCCCCCGGGCATGCATGGGAACAGGAGAGATTAGAAAGGGAAAGAAGGTTCTGAGGGTCATTGACTAACATAAGAGGACATCTGGGGAAAGGCAGGGAGAGGAGCAGATATATCATAGGGAGGGAGAGGAGGGAGAGGACGGAGAGGACGGAGGAGTTTACGGGGAGGACCTAGAGGCGAAGACGCCGGGAGGTACGAAGGGAGGGACACTAAGACAAAGAAGGAAATATGTAAACAAGGACAGAGGACAAAAGGACAGATCCAAACAACACAAAGAAAAGAGAGGAAGCATGCATGTGTTCAGAGCGAGATGCAAGCGCCAAGAGTAGAAAAGCAAGATTGCTCATTCATTCCATCCTCTCTGCTACAGCGTGTTGCCTCCCTCTCCCTCTCTCCCTCCCTCTCTCCCTCCCTCTCTCCCCCTCTCTCTCTCTCTCTCTCTCTCTCTCTCTCTCTCTCTCTCTCTCTCTCTCTCTCTCTCTCTTTCTCTCTCTGTCCATCTGTCTGTCTCTTGCTCTTTCCCCCCCCCACTCCTCTCTCCCCTACTCCACAGTTTAAAACCATCTATGTGAATCTGACAGAAGAAGCTCGTTCGGACAAGCATATTACCTTCCCCTGAGCGAGACGCTGGAGACACTAATCCAAACATGCACACACACACACACACACGCACACACACACACACACACACACACACACACACACACACACACACACACACACACACACACACGCAAAATCACACTCCATTAAACACACATGGATGTGGGGCTGTTGAGCTAAAAATACAACACACGCTCTCTCTTCACCCCCTACTCTCCCATATTTTTTACCACTCTTCCCCCAGCATTCATCCCCCCCCCTCACACACACACACACACACACACACACACACACACACACACCACACACACACACACACACACACACACACACACACACACACACACAACACACACACGCACACGCACACGTAGAAGCATCACAATGTCATGTTAAGCTTGAAGGGCATGGATTCAGATCAAAGCCAAAATGTGCAATAAATGACACATTGATTGTGAACCACTAACGATGCAACAATCTGTGCCAATGCAAACACACGCAGGCAGATACATGCTCTTTATCACCGTCTCTCTCACACACACACACACGCACACACACACCTATTGTGAAGAACTATGACTGAGAAGGAGAGTGTCGCTAAAGATCAAACGGCTCCAAATACATCACTAAACAGATGCAATTTAGGGGGGTTATGTGTAATTTAAGGATACTTTTACTGTGCATTTTCATTTTATGTGACTTTTTACTACATTTCAGAAAGCAATATTCTACTTTTTGCTTTACATCCCTTTTTACAGTTTACCTCCACACATCTGATGCATTTCTTATAAGAGTATAACAATCTTTTGAAAAAGACGGTTGCATTTTACAACCGGATTCTCGGTGGAGTGCAAACCCCTCAAATCGAAGCATATTCTAAGAAACAGTGAAAAGGTAGCGCATCGCTTTGATGAAGGCTCCGTGCTAAGCATATTTCTGTTGTGATCTGAACCACAAAAGAAATGAAATGCAAGTATTTCGTCCTGCTTGACTTGGAAAACTGGGATCTGCTACCTTTACACTTATTATGAATCTGGTATTAAAAAAGTGTTGATTTGTCAGCAGTTTAACCAGCTGAGCCTTTAAGCTGTATCCATGTTAATGCAAAAGCAACACAAATATCATACAAAATGTAAAGGGTAATACAAAAAAAACTTGTAAATCAAGCAACTGCATAATAATTACATTCCACCCATAAATAATGATGAACTGACCTTTACTTACATCTTGTAGTATTGTATTTACATAAATTCCCTTCAGACTATATTTTCTCTGCCATGAATACAAATGTGCCATTCTCAGTGTTTGTGCACTGGAGGCTTCACATTATTCCCTGCACTTGTGTAAGTCGCATATTTATAACTTATATAAAACAAGACAGATTTAAATACTCAGAGAATGAAATTAACATAAAAGGAAACAGTCGCTGGAAACACACAGAAGTAACAAAACATAAACAAAATCACACAAAGGTGAAAAAAGTGTATTTCTGAAATTCATTTAGAGCAGGCAGGGTTTGCGTCCCTGATCCCCTTCAGGCAGGTTGCTCATTTTAAACATGGTTTGCCTCCAAACAAGCTGTGACGTAACACAATCTGGCTGTTTGTCTTAAGTTTAGCAGAGAAACACTTTATCCTTAGACAAAGCTGAAGAGAGCCTTCTAGTGTCAAACTGCACATAAATCATTCTGCAGTTCGAATGTCAAACATCCAAGAGGAGTAACACCTTTTTAAACAGAGGGGGACTTTTGAGGATGTGAGTGCTTCTTCCAGCACTATCTAAAAATACAAAAAGAAACGTGTATTATTAAACCCTCATTTAAGGCTTTTACCAGCAGCATTCACTCCTGAGCTAACTTTAACGCCATAGCAACACCAATAGATATCCTTATTTCCCTCCACTGATGACCTTGTCCATTCTCTGCCATTTAAATAAACACATTCACGCCGACGTCGCTTCCGATCTCGCTCCTATTCAATATCTGCACGGCTCCTCTGTGTTGCTCTGTGGATGATTCACCCACCCCTCACCGGAGGCTCATTGTGAACTTCAGAACACATCAGACGTCAGACACAGGGGCCGTCAGCTCTCATAATGTCAGACCACTATAGTGAGCACGGGCATGAGATCTATATCTCCCCCTGTATCCTTCTCCTCACCCCTTTCTCACTCACACACACTTTACTTTACATTACACAATCCTCACTGACATCTCAGGACAGAATTCCAATGAATAGCTGAGGATGTTTTCCTTGAACCACACACAGATTCTACATTTAAACTAATGTATGGACGGGAAGCTCATTCCAAGAGAAAAACTCATAATTACTTTTGCTTTATTATGAAGATTTTGAGGTCAAATATAATCCTGTTTCATCCACTGCCATGAGTGTGTGAAATGAGCGGAGAGATGTACAGTAGGAGGGGGAAGGACGAGAAAGGATAAAATGACAAGCTGTGAAGCGTTCATCATCAATCTGACATTTGTTCTTTTGTTATTGTCCGGAAAACGTTCCTTTCTTTTCAATTGCAAAGTGGTAACCTTGGCACGGTCAAACGTTGTCTGAAAGCAACCGGGTTCACTTTATTGTGTGTGTGTGTGTGTGTGTGTGTGTGTGTGTGTGTGTGTGTGTGTGTGTGTGTGTGTGTGTGTGTGTGTGTGTGTGTGTGTGTGTGTGTGTGTGTTTCTCAGAGGCCATCTAGGCGATGAAAGAAAATACAAAGCACCCATGCGTCATCTGCTTGTGCTTGGGTTAAGACGTCACAGTTTTATCCTACCGTTGATTCATTTAGCTGAAATATTGAGCGTTCATGCTAGATTATTCTGGAAATTCAAAGCTATTTCAGATAGTTCAAAACTGTTTAATTGGTCTGGTTAAACGTCTAATGCGTCATCAGCTGAAAAATATTGACATTGCCTCATTTGAGTCAATTAAACCCCTGTTGTTTCTCCTCTGACTCATTTATCCCCTGTCCTCTGTCTCTCACTGATTTCCCCTTTCAGCCTCAGGTCTACATGAATATTTAGCATCACCACGCACACGCATGTGCTTCAAACTGCATCCCGTGCCGTTGAGTAGGTTTTTACATTTCACTGCCTAATCCTCATCTCAAAAAAGGGATTTAACCAAAGAGAGAATGTTCTGCCTCCTCCTTTGCCAGCGCAGATATAAAAATATCCAACTGTGTCTAAAAATAGCCTCGTATACTCTAGACATACTGCAGGCATATGCTGTGATGAATATGATGATTTCCTTCCCTCTCATTTCCACCCAGCTCTTTCTCCTTATTCCTCTCATTTTGTATTTTTGTTGTTTTGCATGCCTCCTCTTTTTTCACTTCTCAAACATCATCAAGGTCAGTGTGACCCCGGAGGAGAAGAGGAGGAGATGTTTTATAAAAGGCAAAAAGAGGAAGAACGGGAATAAAAGACAGGAAATGTCATTGGGCGAGACGACTAAAAGGGAAACCAGGAGATGAAGTGAAGGGCCAATTTGTTTTTGAAGGTCTTTGCTCACATTGTCTTCTGACCCGTCTAGTGGGAGCAGGGAAGTTAGGAGTGTTTGCCTTACATAACAATCATCAGGTCTGCCAGCACTTCTATTTATTCTTTGTCCTCCTTCTGATTTACTCGCTTCCTTCCCTTTCTTCCCCTGCCCTCTCACTCATCCTGTCTCACTGATGTGACACACAGTGGACCATTAATCCCTCTTTCACTCACACACACTCACACACTCTCTGTATTCAGACCTCTTAGAGCGAGCAGTGCTTGCACCCTCTGCTGGATACAACACAATCTTTCATCTATATTTCATTTGAAAAGAAAATTATCTCCTCACTAATAGACCTAGATAACAAACCTCTTGCAATAGCTGGTCTGAACCACATTTACAAATTCCTAATGAGTTTTTTTTTTTTGTATCTATGCAAGGTCACTGAAGGGCACACAAGCTGAGGGATGTGGTGATTGTGAGGAAATCTTAAAATAGAAATGGATATTCTACAGGGACAAAAAAAAGTGCTTATGCTCTGCCCTTAGTCAAGGTGTGTTATATAACCTGGAACGCTTGAATGTGCAGAAAGAATATGGTTTTGTATTTGCTTTAAATATATGCATTTTGTAAAATAAGAGTGTGTTATCTAATGAAACCTTGCATCACAACCTATCTGTAACAGTGTTGCTGCAAAAGGCATTCAAGCAGCTAACCACATCTCACGTTTGTCCTTATTCCAACCCCTACACTATAGCCTCTCTGGTAATCATGATTCACCTTGTGAATATCAAAGTGCGCAGTATAAATTGGTAGCTTGGAAAAACATGCGCACCCGAAGGTAACTTGATCTTTTATTCAACCGTTCCTTAAATGTCAGGTGGCATGCTTGCCAAAGGATTTGAATATTTTTACCAAGGCAAACATAAAAAAGCCACTCTGCCCTCCTCCAGTCTCTCGTATTCAGGTCTTGACGGGCTATTTTTAGCGCCTTCCACTGGGAGCGAATGAGTTCTGTTGGGGTTGTATGCAGATCTTGATGTTACGCAAGAAGAACATTTGAAATAAACAATTGTAGTGTGTAATATTTCACCATTCTTTCTACGTAGTGCTGCCAGATCTATTCAAGGAGCCTTAAGGGCATGTATTATGATTGTGGGGTCACTCAAAGAAAACAGCTTGGTGTAAGATGCTGAGTAGGTGTAAAAATAACTGTCTCTTCCATCATTTTCTTTCTTTGACCATTTTTTGTTCTCTCTTTCACACAAACAATTATGCACGACTGAGTGCACAGTCAACTCACAAATCCATCTCGACAGCTGATATGACTTATCTTCACATTACAGAAAACCTAACTCCTACCCTTTGAATGATTCAGCCCCAAGATATGCATTCATCATCGCTGAGCAGCTAAACTTTTTGATGTTTTTAATGTGAGGTACAACTGAGTAATCCTCTAGGTAGATTCCCATCTCTAAAAATCTTTCATAGCTACATTTACCAATTAAACTATTCAAAAATATAAGGGATGGCTTACTGTTGCTTGAAATTGAGTGGAAAATAATGGAGATAATAAAACATTAGGTGCCATTTCCACCCAAATCAGCAGCTCTAGAGATTTTATATAGTACGTCACTGCATGGATTTTGCCTCACTGGAACCCCTAAGACTGATTGAAGCTCTGGCCTGGATTGAGAGGAGTTATTTCTGGAACACATTAGCGTTCGGGGAGGTAATTGTCTCCTCTCCAGCTTTTTTGATCCTCAACGCAGAGAGAAGGATTTCAATGAAACAAGAAAAGAGAAGGGGGGAGAATAGACAACCCTGCTGTACTGTATAAGTGCATGATGTGTCGGAGTCACAGGAGAAGAAGTGAGGAGGAGACGGGTGTATTAGTGGACAGGTGATGCGGGGAAGAAGAGAGGCACAGTTTATCTGCTGCTGACCCTCACTCACCAACGTTAGTTAAAATGTCTTAAGTGAAGATTATATTTCAGTGTTTACATTTTACTTACCTGTCATTATTGTGTCTTTTTGTGCATGACAAGCTCTCATCACTGAAAAGTGTTCCACACTGAGGGAAAGTTGATCCCCCTGCTGTTATCAGGTGACAGGCACAATGAAAGCGGCTGTATTCAAATTGGGACGCATGAGAGACTGCAGCCCCCCCAGCTGTGAAACTGATGGATACCAGATACATACAGGAGTAATATTGACTGGATGCATGCATCAATTTTTTATTTGCTCAACTGGGGTGACTGGAGGTTCGGTCACACATGGCTCCCAGCTTCACCTCACATGTGACCCTCCACCTGCCGTCAGCCCTGAGTTTCTTATAAACATCAACAAACAGATATTTGCCAATAATAAAGTACATCAAAATGTCCCTTTGCCTAAAAAACACCTTGCCTTTGTTATACTGGGATCTGTGTGAAGATATTGGACTGTATTAGTCCCTATCCTATCATTTTGATAAGGATTTATACACATTATATTAGCTATTTTATTTTATCATCCCGCACCTATTGCTCAAATAAATCCGTGCTTATCTAGGCTTATCACAAACTTTCTATGTGTTATCCCTCCCCCCAAAAAGGGACTAGATAAATGAAAAAGTTCTTATTTTTAAACAAAAGTTATCCAAATTAAGCTTTAGTGTCTCCTTAATTGTAAGTCAGTTCCCATCAAATGCTGCTGTTTCCAAATGTGGCTCCTCATTATGTAACACAATGAGCTTTCAGTAATAAATTAACTTGACTTCCATTTCAACAAACAAACGTATTCTTATGCACATGTTTCAGAAAGTTTCTCCTCTTACCTGCCCAAAGACTGACTTCACTATGGGATGGAGGACGGAGTCAGACGCGGTTATGCTGACTCTCTTGGATGTGCGGCTGGACTTCGCAGGTGCTCTGGTCGCAGGTGGGTCGGAGCTGAGGCTGGAGGAAGACCCGGTGATCACCCTCTCTCTGGGCTCGAAGAAGAAATCCGCATCGTCCTGTCCTTTTGGGTAAGACGGAACCGGAGAGGTCCTCCTGTCCTGCGGGGAGCCGTGCTGGAGCTGCGCTGCGGGAGGCGGCTCACCTCGGGAGGAGTCGTGAGGATGATGCCTGGTCCTGGTGGACTTGCTGCGCTCTTTCTGGAGCCGGCTCGCCCTGTGCCTCGCTTCCTCCTGAGCGTACCCTTCATCCTGGAGGCTCGCCTGTCGGTGAGAGTGGCTCTTCTGCCCCCGGTGGTCTCCTCCACTTCGAGACACCTCTGCGTGTCTCGGTTGGCAGAGAGGTCTCCGCGCACTCTCGCAGTCCTCGGTCCAGGCTCCATCCTCTCCCCCGGTGGGGTGGTGCTGGACGCGGTGCTGGCTCCGGTGATCCTGCGGACCCGATTTACGGTTGTGCCCCCCCGAGGATTTCAGCAGGGAAGTAGTGGACTCGCTTTTGGGGAAAGAAGAACTCATCGTGCGCTTCCTCTCGCTGAGTGAAGCTTCTGCAGGCTGGGGGGCGCGTGAAAGAAAAAGAAGGCAGTCCTTCGCCACGTGCAGGTGTTCAGCATCAGTCAGTTGGACTTGGCTCTAATCTACAAACCCGAGCATCACTGCAGTCCACAGGAGGGAGAGGAAGTGCATGTGAAACAGTGACGCTCCGCAGGGCTCAGACCATTTTGGATGACACGCGCCAAGTTCATATAGGACTCACGTCACTGCAAACTATTTCCCTCACTACTAGCCTTTTGGATTTATCTAAGGTTGACTGCATTGATTTACTGTAGAAGCCCCTTGTCAGCGTTTCTGTTCATTAAAGTGTTCACAAAAACACAATAACTAACCACCATCAATGGACCAATGAGACAAACAGACTTCACTATACATTAAACTACTGTGGACTGTGGAACTAAAAGACAAACAAAGGGTTAAAAAGGTTTTAGAAAAAAGATGACTTGTAGGTTAACAAGGAATTTGTCTTGGTGTGTTTGGTCCATATATAACAATAAATATATGAAAATAACAGTGATAAAAAAAACTATAGGGAAAACTTTTTTCTTTTTTTGTAAAGGGGTGGTAGGACATCAGCATTTTGGTACTAAATGATTTGAAAGTTATCATAACAATAATTACAACAAATTCATAAAACTCACTCTTTCAAGCAGATTCTCCCCAAATATCACACTATAAGTTGTACAGGTCTAATTGTCAGGGGTCCTAATTAAGGGAACTTTTTTGACTTCATTGGTAAAAGAAAAAGTACACCTTCCCTCTTTCTCTTTTATTTTTGAATGTCATATACATGACAACAGCATTCTTAAGTCGACTTCCCTATATTTTCATTGACTTTAAAAAAAAAAAAATTCATTTATATATACATTTAATACAATAAGCTTTCCAAATGTCATCTATTTGACAGACAACATGGTTGGACACAGAAATAATACCAAAGTAAACATGTTGGAATATTTTACCGTGGCTTACTCAAAATAGAAAGTTCAAAAGAAAACAAACACTGAAAATAAAAGCGTGACCATCTTTGAACCTCATCCCATCTGCACACCTACGGTCATAATTCTCACAGCAGATGTCCGGGGATGCAGGCAGAGTGTGTAATGATGTCAAAACATGGAGCCAATTAGTGACTCAAGCTCTCACGAACTGTGTTTCACAGTGCAGAGCTGAGAAATGAACAGATTTTTGCCCTCCTCTCTGGGGAATTTTTGTTCTCTGACATCTGTGTCTCCTCTGCTCCAGGGAGAGGCAAAGTATCTTCACTCCATCGCTCCCATCCTCCCCCCTCTTCATCATCGGCCTGCTTAAACCACTCTACCTTTTTTCATCCTTCGTGCATCTCATAAAGTGCTGCTGAGCCATTGTCTCTTTCAGGTGTCACACTATCCCTTACACTTTAACCAGCCTCTTATTTATTATGATAACCAGTAATATTCTGTGTTTTTATCTCAACGTTTGGAAACCTTTTTTTTTAGAACTGGTAATTACTATAACATGTGAATATTTTCAAGAAACTTTTTAAAATCTCAAGCACTTTCCCTTTATGCTCACCTCCCATCCTCCCGCTCTCCCCTTCTGTAGACATTGGGCTGCAGCAGGGGACACAGTACAAGCCTGGGGGTGCAATCTGGCCCATTTAAGAGAAAAAAAAGAGAGAATAAAAAACAAATTAGCATCTTTAAAAAACAGCAACATAGAAATCACAACATCGTTTTACTCTTTTTGGGCTGATGTCACATTCTATTTTTGCATGTATTCCCCAATCCAACCCAACACCATCTCACAGTGGGGTCGGATGACCAAACCATCTTTTATGGCAAGTGCTGCACATCTGACAGCTGCTGCTCTGTGTTTCCAAACAGCGCAGTCTTGGGAATACTATTTCAGTTCACAGTTCTCTGAAAGAAAACTAAAAGAGGATTTTAGTGTAGTATTAGTACAACTGTAATATTTTTAAAAAATGGTTAAAATAATGGTGACATTTAAATGTTCAATATACATTTGGTCAGTGGGTATACCGGCTGCCAGTGTGTGTGGTGGTAGCGCTGGACCACATAGCACTGGCTGTTTCTTTTTCAGTGTTCATGTAAAGAATGAATTGACTAAAACAATCTCAGTTTAGGGGGTCCCCTAACTCACGTATTATTCAACTCAATCATCTCTTCATAAGAAGGTAAGAAGATGACTTTGACCTGAGATTGTCAAGGTGAACAAAAAATGTTTTGCGCATACCAAAATATTGAATTCTAACAAAAAGAAACACCAACCTCTTTGATAAAAGTATAAGCACATACGATATGTGAGTGTACATAATGAGTAAGTTGATTATTGATTATCAATTTAAAAAGAGAGTATGGTGTGAAAAACATATATCAAATGGTAATGTGTTCATTTCTGTAGCACATTCTATGTCAAAGAAGAAAGTACAAAGCTGACGTGAAAACAATTAATGTTTCGCTGACTAACCGTGTCCCTGATCCCACCTTGCAGCCTTATTAACCTCGTCCCCTGCGGAGTTATAGGATTAAATCAGCAGGGCGAATAATTAACAACATAGCAGCTCTGTGCCTACAAGGTGAAGAAAGAGCTCCATCAACTGAATCATCAAAACATTTTGCAAACTCATCTAATCACCCTTTCTGTTGGATGTAATGTTCAAAATGTTTTAAGAAAATGTAAATGTTCAGATAGCAGCCTTTTGGTCATCAATAGACTGACATGATGAAGAACTGAATGATCCATTAAACCACATCACAATGCATTTATTAATCAAATGTTTATTCATTCATCATAACTCTCTAGTTTTACATTAAAAAATGAATTAGTTGTTATTTAGTTTCTAGACCATCATGTGGTAGATGCTTAAACAAAGGCGACCACTTTTTCTTGGAGTCTTATGGAAATATTTCTAAACATTTGAAATGATCACGTGTTGAGCATAGTTTACATAAAACTTCTTATATAATGGGCCCACTTAAATCGTTGTTGTAACCCAACTAAATATAGTTTACACAGTGGCCTGAGAAACAGAACACATTTATATATACAGTAAATATCAAAGATTCAAGAATCTTAACTCTAATCAAGCACAGATGATGTTGTCAGGCTTGTAAGAAAAGTAACAAACAACCTTCTGATGTACATATTAAAACAATCAAAGTGTCCCTCATCACTGTGCAACATTTTCAATCCAATCCAACTTTATTTATATAGCACATTTAAAAACAACAGAGTTGACCAAAGTGTATAAAAAGCAGCATAATTACATTTAGACAAAACCGATAGGACAAAAAAATGAGTTTTAATGAGTGGGTATAGGGACATTATGATGTGTTCATGTCCTTATTTCCAATCAGCCACAGCTGTATGAGGGAGGCATTAATGCCTTTGAGCTTAAACTGCTTAATTTCCACCCACTCCAATAATGGTTTCATCACAGTAAATGTAGGGCTGTAAAAACTGTTACCAGACCCAGCAGGAGGGTCTCACTTTAAATGTGGTGGATAAAGAGAGAGGAGAATAAAGAGTACTGCAACTTACTAATTAATTTAAAGGTGTTATTCATGAAGAACAAAGACACCAAATGCAGCTGCAATTCAAAGCACAATGTTTACATCTGTGGTAAGTTCATGGACATATTGAGCACAATGATGTTCACAAAATATATGAACAAGAAAGAGCTATGTGCAAAATATATACCAATCAATGTATCTAACTTTATATACTAATGGATTAAAATCAGAAATTTGCACGAAAATGTAATCAATATTTTAATATCATTTTTGTTTTATGGTTTTAGTTTTAAGCATTAGCTATACATGTAGCGTAACAACACAAAGTTACATAGATGACATGCACTGAAGATGTATGTTTTGGAATGATGCATTATTTATGAAATCAGTATTCCAAAGGATCTTGAATGTACTCGTCAATCTTTATCCAGCGGCCCTCATTTTCCTCTCAGGAGTGACTATTTACGCCTCACAGAAAGAAAAGGGTCCCTCCATCCAAATTACACATAACAAAGAAGAGTGGCTGTTGTGGTTCATGAATAATTCTCCTGGAGAGCAAAAAGGTTAAAAGCTGCAAAAACAATGAAACATTTCTGCAACAGTGCTGTAGGCATTCATAACCTTTTATATTGAAAATAATAGGTCAGTTGGCTGAGACCCGAACACAACAAAAACTCACACTAACATGTATTTTGTGGCTATATTTTCTATTTAAACAGGTCTTACAAAAAGGTCAATAGTCACTCATCAATATCCACAAATGCTATGTGTCAATTATACACAGATGTAACGGTGTTTTTTACCCAAAGAGAAAGACATGCATATGGTTTTGTTTAAATGCTTTAACTTCTGTATGTGTCAAATGTTGGTAAAGAGTTTCTATGGAAGCCCAAGATTGAATTATGACCCTTAACCAGTCTTACAAAATAAAGGAAAATGGTATAAAAATGAGCTTAAGAGTACATGTGGGTCAAAAGGGTCATCAGGAGGTGGGCGTCATCCTGATACCATACCTGGTGCTTGTTGAGTTGGGATTACAGCAACTATTCATAAAGTCCCATCATGCATGGTCCATGAACCATCCACCATCTCTACCAGCACCCACAAACTAAACAAAATCAAAAAGAGGTCTATAATGTCAAGACCATTTTATGCTAAACACTGAAAGTCAAACAAACAAGGAGAAATAATAACCCTCAGCTACCTTATTTTTGGCAAGGAAAAAAACAAATACTCATATTATCTACCACAACTTGTAAGGCTGCCAACATGTCTGGCTAACTAGCATGCCTAATGAGCAACACACAGTTTTCGTTTAGCTTTCAATGAGTGAATTGCCAAATACACTTCAGCATGTCTTGAAATGTAACACCCATATTAAAGACTTGTTTTAAACCCTTTCAAAAATAAATACTATGTCCCAACACACTCACTGGCCCTGATTTTCCAGTTCCCTATGTGCAGGCTCGGTACAAGTTTCCCATTTGAAAGATATACCTGTTCTGCAATGTCCCCATGTCTGCCTGAGACTGATAGTCTGTCTCCCTTGGGTTTTACTTCCTCCACTATACTGCTATATCCCTAGACCCTGAAAGTATAAACTCCAGTCTTAATCTCCTTTGTTAAACTAATAACAAAGGAGTGTGGTGAAATCCCTTTCACCACACTCCTTTCTAACTGAATGAGGTAGGAATTAAACGTACCAAAGAAGATACCAGACATATAAACTGGTGAGGATTTCTCATTGGTGATCACAGTAGCCCAGTGGCGGTTCTACGGGGTGGCACGGGGTGGCAGCTGCCACCTCAGAAAAATGCCTTGCCACCCTAGTTGCCCCCCAGTTGGCAGCTTTGTTTTGAAAGAAAAGTTGTGGCTCATCGGACATTTATGAGAGAAAATCTCTAATGTCCGAGTGCAAGTGAATGCAGCACAAGACGCAAGCCTTGTAACCCCTCCCCCGGCCCTGGCGCGAAATATGATTGGCAGCGATTTCATTTCGGGACGGCGCAAAACGAGAAGAATTCGGACCCAAGTAGATGCAAGGAATGAGGTATTTGCGGTCTACAATGACAGAGAAGAGACTGTCAAGTTTGGCTGTACTCAGCATTGAATCAAAACGCACCATAGCTTTAGATCTTAATACGTTTGTGAGGCGATTTGCTGAACAAGATGGTAATCGCCACATTCAGCTGTTATAGGCATGCCAACTTGATGCTCTGCTCACGGATGACTCGATGAGCATAAAAAACTGTTAAGATGATGACCTTACGTGTGTATAACATTTTTCTTCTTTGTGGGGGTTTGCCCCCAAAAAACAGTTTCAAGTCCTGAGAAAGTCAAATAAGACGGTGTGTAAAACTTCACTGCCCAGCCAAAAAAAAGTAACCACTTTGATTTAACTAGGCCAGTAGGTAATGTGGGAGAAACTTCTGTGTAGCAATGCAGTGGGAGTCACCGACTCAGGAAGGAGACACGGGGAGAGCTGGAGCTTTGATGTCAAACACTGATGGTTTATTTAGGAGCTTCGGCCGGAGAATTCACAAAACAATCTGGAGTCAGAGGTTCTGACTTCACGGTAGAGTTGCCACGTCAATTCTGAAGAGCCTCTCTCTTGCTATACCTTTTAACTGGTTCACAGAGAGTAATCAACATATTTGAGGAGATAGACTAAACAGCTGGGAACACTGAATTACTTGCGTCTGACACTTATGGCCTCGAAGATTTCACACCTTGGAGTCCACAAACACAGAGAAGGAAGTGTTCCAGCGTAATCACAACAATAAACCATTTGTGACCGAGAGTTGCCCGGTCATAAACTGGTAACAACAACATATGGCTGAAGCAGCCCCTTTGCTTAAAGTGGACCTATCATGCTATATTTAAATGATATATTGTAGGGCCATACCTATATAAGGTATATTTATACGTTTCTGTTTTCAAAATACCAAACAGATCATGATTTTAAGCCATGCCTCATTTCGCTCTATTTGTTGTTCTCCAGCACTGTTTTTGCAGTGGTCTGATTCTGTGAGCTGCAGCTGACCACGCCCCCCTGCAGGAGAGGGGAGCGCGCTCTGAACAGCTGCTGGGCTGTCAGAAGAGGGGGAGAAAAATAGATCTCCGTCTTCCGTGTTTTATTATAGCCTATTATTATATTCATATCGTATATATATTCATATATATATATATATATATATATATATCGTTATTCATTTGTTTTAAAGCTCAATAAATAACAAAGAAGACCTTTGACCGACACTTTTCAAATTTTGTCCGGAAGATTTAAACTTTAACGGACATCTTGACCGGCGAAAGAAACTGAAACTGAAACTCTGCCGCACAGTCCCCTCGTTCCTTGGAAGAGGTGGAGAGGTGGGTGTTTGTCATCTGCTGGTGGACTAACCGGAGAGAATTACAGTGCTTGCCTCGACGGGGAGGGATTGCATTGAATTAAAGCAGCGGGAGCAAACGCTTGCCTCGGGGAGGGAGAAAAAAAGCCACAGTGGAGAATAAACAGAAGGGTAACCATGGTAACTATGGGCGGGAAGTCTTCTTCGCTGCTTTTGTGGCAGACTACAGCGCCACTTACAGGCCTGGCATATGTACTACAGCGTCTCCAGCGCTTTCGAGCGGGAATGGCCGGCCGTGGCCCAACCCCACATTCCCCTGATAGGTGGAGAGTTGGCCCAATAGCCGTAGCGCCACTTTACTGACGTCAGTGAAGTGTTCAAATCTGGATCAGTTTTTACCAGATCCGTTGCAGCCCCTTTTTTAGAGATTTGGGTATGGAGGAAAATAGAGAGGGTTGTGTTTTCTGACACTTGGTGAGTTCCCTGGAACACCGGGGACACATATTCATGTATAAAAGACGTACAAAAGTGCATTTTGCATGATAGGTCCCCTTTAAGGGAGATAACAGACGTCAGGGTTGGTCATAAACGTCAAAGGGCAAGAGGTTAGATATCTAGGAGAATTATTCCCTAACAGGTAAGGGTATTCCACTGGTTAATAACTGCAGCGATGTATATGTTTTAGCTGAATGCATGTTTTTTAACCCTAACTGATGCAGTTAGTCACTTCTTTAATGTTTGTTCTTTCTGATGTAAAGTCAAGGTTGTAACTGTTTGCAATGAAGTTGTGGGGCGCTGAACTGTTCTTTTGATTCTTTTGATATATGATAGTAATTACTTGTCTTTCAAATTTGAAGGAGGGTGAGCAAGCATCTTGAGGAATATTCATCATTAACCCCTCCAAAAAATATAGTTTATTTAATAATAACAGTGAATATGTGAATCATAACAGTGATTGACAGCTGATAGGAATAATATGATTGTTAATAGTATCATATTAATTCAGACAAACATCGATGAGACAGTTAATTAATGTACTTATTGCAGCAGTCTGCATAGATGTGGTACCCCTGCTGGTCTAAGAGTGAAACAAACTCATTCAGTTATTGTTCAGTTAAAATTCATTCAATTATGTCTGCCACCTTATATATTTCTATTTAAGGCTTTAATAGCCACAATAATGTCACCTAATGTTATTGAGTTAAAATGTAAATAGTGTGGCTTTCCAAGTTAACATTGATTGATATGACTGCGATTAAATCAGCATATACTTCTGCCAGGGGATGCCACCCCTCAAATTCTCCTGCCACCCTCTTGCCACATCATGAATATTTTTTCTAGATCCGCCCCTGCAGCAGCCAAGAGGTTTCCTACTGAAAATGTACACACCGTCTCCCCCTTGAGTTGAAGTTTTTACTGGCCATATGCAGCACTGACTTTTCAAGTCTGAAGAGTTTCTCCATTGACTTCCATGTTAAACATTTAATGAATTATTATGGGATATATCTCGGGAATTATGAAAGTTATGAATGAGAAAAGTAAGAGCAATCGATTCCCGACCGAGCTGAACGTTTTGATTTTTGAACGGAGTTTCTGTGATGTGGAATGTGGGAGCAGAAGAGGGACAAAATAACCCGGCGGAATAAGAATAAAGAATTTGTGCGTAGAAGAACAAGTAGTTTGAATGCTGTATCAGCATTCCCACTAAATAAGTAAACAATCGGTAACTATTACAATTTTTTATATAAAAGGTAGAAACAATCCAAGTTATATTCTTCATCTCCTTATAAAGCTGAAATGTGTAATAGGTACATTTACACAATGAAAAAGTGAATGATTAAGTGAAATATTAAAAGAAGAAGTAGCTCGACTATCGTCACATATTTGACTAACCATGGTGTGATAGCTGCTGAATTAGCATTTACACAATTACTCAAAAACATAATAAATAGGAATGGCTGTGATGTCATGGGTATAGGCCTATTTCCAAACTTAGACTGAGTAAGGACGTGAGTGGGATATCAAAGACAGTCAGAGTAACACTGTGTGTGTAGTGTCCAGTAAATCCGTCCCTCTGCTCTTCACTTTCAATTCATCACAGTAGCCGGAGGAGATGGAGGGGAGGGGTAACCCATGCATGTTCAGGATTATATAGAGAGTGTGTGCGCACTGAGCGGCAGCAGCAACAGTTTCTCTGCAACACAAAGTTGGCTCCACAGAAAAGTTTAAATGGCAAGATACAAGCCCAAACCCTGGCTGGTGTGCTGCTTCATCTCGGCTGGTTTACTTTGCGCGGTTGCTCTGGTGTGTCTGTGCGTCGTCTCTCGGACAAAGGCGGACAAAGAGTGTCCGAGCGGCAGCTTCACGCGCGCGGCTGTGGCTGCAGACTCGCGACAGTGCTCCGAGATTGGCAGGTAAATTCCGTTTTGTTCAATAGTAAAAAACCACCGGTGGTGAGTTTGGTCAGAGTTTGACTTAACACTCTGTATCTTTGTATCTAAAAGCTTCAAATTAAAGAGTGAATGTTTGTTTTTGGGGGAAATTGGCAGAGGTACAAGAAGTAGCCTACTTAGATATCGTAGTTGAGTAGGCTACAAGTACCAGAGTGTAGGAATACTCTGTTACAAGTAAAAGTCCTCCATTCAAAATGTTACTTAAGTAAAAGGACAAAAGTATTACCATCAAAATGTAAAGTAGCCTATAGGCCTACCAAAAGTACCAATTATGCAGATGTGCCCATTTCAGAATAATATATCGTATGTTTTGATTATAGTTATTGATGTATTAATATGTGAATCAAAGTGGTAAAAGTGCAGCTATTTTGAATGACTTTCTATGCTGCAGGGCTTGTGAATTTACTCCAGGTGTAACTAAAGTCTTATTCAAGTGTTATATTTCACATTATTAATCCAAATCTGCAAAGTAACTAAAGGTACTAAATACATGTAGCGTAGAAGTACAAAGTAACAAGTCACTCAAAAGTGTACTTAAGTACAGAACTTGAGTACATTTACTAAATTACTGTACACCACTGGAGATTGGAAGTTAAAGAAGTTGTTGTTCTTAGATGTATTCCCATCACATGTATATTTAGAGTTTAGTTACTCAGAACTCGCTATCAGACTGCATCTCCCTACTCCTGCAGCAGCTGAGATAAAAAGCTGAACTGAGTAATGGGATAAGCAGTTTAAGAGATTTGACAGGCTCTGTTTGAGGAATAGAGATAATGCCTGCAGAAATGTCAGCAGACAAGCCATGATACTCCTCACCTCTTGTTGAGTTATTTCCTGAACTATCCTGTTGAATGTGAATATACCAGAAAATCAGATCTCGTAGCCCACAAACTGATGTCACTGTTTGTAATGAGGAAATTCTTTTTTCATTTGATGCACTCCTTAATTTGTTCAGTGAGCCACAAAGTGGATGCCATTAATCTGTCACCATGATAACTCCAAATGCAGAATAAAGGTGAACGAAACAGGAATGTGCATGAAGCTCTTTCTGCTTTTGAATTCAGTTGCAGAGATGTTTTTCTTCCTGTCATTGTGTATATTTCCGAATTCACACCAGAGACAATGAATGTTCCTCTAATGAGGGACTTCTGAGGGCACTCTTTTTATTCTCTCCAACTATCATTTGCATAACACATTCTTCAGAGAGAGAAACCGTTGTGCAGCAGTTGCAGTACAAACAGAGTCTCTCAAATCTTTATTCTTTCCAAACCCACGTTTTACTCACACATATAACAGCTCAGGTTTGACAAAATGAAATATAAAAAACTAAGATATCTCTAAATTAGTGTTGCTTTATCCACAGATTATACAGCCATTTGCCAGCCATCTACTAAAGACATAAACAAGTATAAACGTGTTCTGTCTACAATGTTCACATTAGTCACCTTTAAGTGGACTTTTCCTATTAGATTTGAGTTTATCTTTCTACCTCCTGTGACCTTGTCCACTGTTAAACCAATCAAACTACATGGCAGTATCATTTCTTGTCCCTCAGTTGACCAACAAAAGACCCATTCACTCTTTTGGAGACGTTTCAGAGTTTTACATGCTTGGTTATATAATTCAGTTTGATGAAAAAAAACAAATTAGTTGTAAGTAAGTAAGTAAGTAACATTTATTTATAAAGCGCTTTTCACAGACAGTCACAAAGTGCTTGACAAAACATTAAAACATCATAGGAATGATAAAATAATAAATGACTACACAAGCCACGTTAAGAAGTGCTAAGTGATATGGTTCACAGTTGAATAGGTTAAAAGAAAGAAAAAAAATCCCCAACATGAATGGCTTCTTGGTATGTTGCCTCAACAACCCCTGGCATCAGCACAAGGTTTAAACTTGCCTTTTGGCAGCTCAGTCATTCTTTGAATCCCTGAAGCAATAAACCTTGAGTCTAGAGTGTTGCAATCATTCAAAAAAAAAAAAAAAATTCACCCCTGTGTCTGTGTGTGGGCAATTACGTAGTGCGTTGACGTGTTGGTGACAGTGTGGTGACATGAATTCAGTAAAATGATATGTTTTCCAGTAACATTCTACAGGAAGGTGGATCAGCAGTAGATGGCGCCATTGCAGCTCTTCTGTGCACGTCTGTGATCAATCCACAGAGCATGGGGATTGGAGGAGGATCTATATTCACCATAAGAAACAAAAAAGGTAAGTTTCTCATTCATTAGGGTGACCTCAAATGATAAAGGTTGATTCAGCTCATGAATTCTTATCTTTTCTCAGGCAACGTTAAAGTGTACAACTTCAGAGAAACTGTCCCAAAGTCTTTCAAAACAAACCTGTTAGATGACTGTCCCACCTCATTCGGACTGACAACAGGTAGGCAGAATTGTCCATCAGTGTATAGTAATGCACCTTTCCTACCCATGCTTCCTCTTATAGTCATAGCAGAATCATCCCTGTAACTCTGCTCATGTTTTACTAATGGATTATTTGGCTTATTTTCAACATCCTCACCATTTTTTCCTATTGAGATGTCCTCTAAATAGTGAACACTAATCCAAACACATTCAAACACAACAAATAGATTTGAGAGAAACACATCTTAAGTATCTTAAGTCGCTTACATATTTTTAACATCACCAGCAGCATCTCTTATTGCTGAGGTTAGATTTTGTTTTCTAGCGTTAAACATTGAATGGAAATGTATTTATTGAGTTAAACCAAATGTTTTCTTTATTGCTTTATTTTTCACGTCAGTCCAGCTTATTTTTTGATCATTGTTTTTTCCTATCATTGGTTTCATGCAGCTTTATTGTTTTGCACCTTGCAGGCAGCCAGTGGATCGGTGTTCCTGGAGAGCTGCGGGCCTACGAAAAAGTTCACAAACAGTACGGGAAGCTGCCTTGGGCCAAGCTGTTTGAACCAACAATCAAACTGGCCAGAGAGGGCTTCCCTTTGCCGGCGTATCTGGGAAGACTTCTGCAATCCCCTATTGTGAAAGGTCACGTGGAAAAATCATCTATCTGGTACAGCATCTTACTTTCTGCTTATAGTGATCAAGAGCTTTTCCAAAAATTGTGGGCAGAAATATAACTTATTAGAATATCTACTTAGCAACACTGACAAACTAGCACTAAGCTTTTACTCATCAGTGCAGAAATCCTGGAGCAAAGGGCTTTCCTATAAATCCCTGTTTTAACTCATTACATGCTGGTTTATAGCCCTGAGTTAACAATTGACTATTTAATGAGTGTTTAAGTTTCAGGATTTCACATTGCATAATAGTTTCACTCAGTCTCATTTCGCTCATTTGAATACTTTTTGCATTGGTGAACATGATTGTTATGTTCTACAGGCACATTATTGTTCTTAGCATAACATTTCAGGAGCAGGGTTCACTGACCTGGAGATAAAAGCAGTGCTCACCTTCTTTTAGAAATGTTTGTTTGAAATGTGGCTTTTCCTAAGCAAATGAGTTATAAAGAGATTAGCTGGGAATGTGTGGTTTAAAAAGCCTGAATGGACATGATTGCCTCTCTGCCTCTGCAAAAGCTTGCACAAAAATGCAGAAACAGCTTCCCGCAGGACATTTGAGATTATTTATTGATGAGTGTGCACAAAAGATGTATATGATTAAATATAAATTGCATGAAATGATTGTTACTATTAGTTAACAAAGAAGACCAGAAAGGTCACAAATTACACAGATGATAAAGTGCAGCATTACCTAAATTGTAATTGCATTATGTTCTGACTTGTGCTTTTACATTAATACTCTTTTCCAGTGACATTTTCTGCAACAAAAACAGAACCGTTCTGCACACAGGAGACCACCTCACGTTTCCTAAACTTGCAGATACCATGGAAACAATTGCAAAACAGGGGGCAGAGGCTTTTTACTCTGGCAAGATAGGACAAGACTTAATCCAAGACATAGAGGCTGCAGGTTGGTGCAATTTCATGGGGATGATTGGTGTCTACACTTAAATGGACAGAAAAATACGTCAAATGTCAACTTGAAAATGAAAGATTTCAAGCTGTTTGTATATACATGTTTCTCCTAGGTGGGACTATGACGATAGAGGATCTGACGTCCTTCCAGGTGCGGGTGGAGGATGCATGGACAGTTTCTCTGGGAAGCACCAAGATGCACCTCCCTCCACCTCCTTCTGGGGGCCCCCTGCTGGCCTTCATACTCAAACTCATGCAAGGTTTCATGTATCATGATAACTTTCCTGCAATTCCTTAAACTGACACACTGTAGCAGCTGAATGACAGTCTAGCATGTTGGCTCTATACTCTGAATAATACAAAAATAGTAAAGCATAATAGTTTTAAAATGTGTTATTTTTGTGTATTTTCACAGGGTTTCCCATCAATCAAAACTCCCTGAATGTTGACCAGAAGATTCAGATGTACCATCACTACATAGAAGCAGCTAAATTTGCTAATGGACAAAAGAGGAGCATCAACGATCCCTATTTTAATGACAAAAAGGTTTGGATCTGATTTTGTTTTCGTTATTCTTAGAGCAAAAGACCTTCTCAAGGATTCGAGATTCAAGGGTTTTATTGTCATATGCACAGTAGCTACAATGTAGCTATGGCAATGAAAATATTGAGTCCCAAGCTCCTCCAACAATGCAACATATTATATATAGGACATAAGACAAATACAAAACATACAAATAAAAATAGTACAAAATGAAACAGAGTACAATAGATTAGAATAAAATAGTGCAGGTTATGTTGCAAGACCAGTGTGCAAGTAGTGCAGATGAAGTTAACTATATACATGCCAGAAAAATGAATAAATACAATAAGCTAAATCATGCAGAGAATGTTGAAAGTGACCAAGTAAATGCAGGATTCTATGTACATGTAAATAGTTATGCAGTCTCAGGTAGACTCAACATATTAGTTATACACAATCAATAATATAATCAATCCACAATGTTGAATGGCCCAAAATTATAATATATAAAAGCAGGTTTATTAAAGAAAAAGCCCGAGTGGTTTGAGTTAAAGTTTGGAAATACACTTTTTGATCCATTTATATAAAAACCTGTCTGAAAATGAGCTGATACGATTTGGCCACTTTATGATGTCAACATGTTTTTTGGGTTGTGCAACCATTAGCAAATAACCAATCAAGGTAACACCCACCCACCTTATCAACTGAATCTCTTCCTTGAGCACTATTGCGCAAATAACAACAAAGACATTTTTCAAAAAAGTCCCTCGCCCCAGCTTTTTCCAGTTTCATTATGATGTTTTTCTTTCAGAGTGCAGTTCATTTGATCCAAGACTCCTTCATCAAGAGCATCAATGACCGGATTTTTTCCAACCTGACCCATGAGAACTCATACTACAACAATACCAAGCCGTCCCGGGATAATGTCGGGACGACACACGTTTCTGTCCTGGATGAAGAAGGACTGGCTGTCTCTGCCACCAGCACCATAAACCAAGTGTAAACACTAAGCCTGTTATTTCGACTTTATCTAATTTATATTATTTCAAATTGCTAAGTCTACGGTGTTTTGTTTTGCAGTTTTGGAGGAGGTGTTTACTCTCCGCGAACAGGCATCATCCTGAACAATGAGCTGTTGGACTTCTGTCGCAGAGCAGATACAGTGAGGGCAGGTAAAGTCACATAAACGAGGACTTTCGATTGCAATTTCAATCTCCTTTCAGTCTGATATGGAGTATGATTGTTGTTGCAGGTGAACAGCCTCCTTCCTCAATGACTCCGGTAATACTGGAGTCAAAGTCTGGAGGACTTTTTGTGATTGGTGGATCGGGAGGAAGCTTGATAACCTCAGCAGTGGCCTTGGTAATTTTGATTAACCTGTTTGCAAATTGATTAACAACTTCCTCATCTGTGTGCTTACATGGTTCTTTGTTTAATCTTTGCAGTCTATGATAAACCACCTGTGGCTGGGGATGAATCTGAAAGACGCCATTGCTGAGCCTATAGTGTTTGTCGATTCCAAGAATAAAGTGAATTTTGAGCCCGGTTTTAACGAGGTGAGATACTCATGTGCTCCTCCTCACTGGCCATTAATTACATTTAGATTCACCAGACTGTGTCGTCTATCTAATGAAAAACATTTCATCTTATGTTATTAATGTGTTCTGACAGAGAGAGCCACAACATAATTGTACAAAGTCTGCTTCAATCTACCTGTAATCATCTTTGGAACCGAAGTGGGGAGGATAAGTGGTATTAATGTGTGTGTGTGTGTGTGTGTGTGTGTGTGTGTGTGTGTGTGTGTGTGTGTGTGTGTGTGCGTGTGTGTGTGTGTGTGTGTGTGTGTGTGTGTGTGTGTGTGTGTGTGTGTGTGTGTGTGTGTGTGTGTGTGTGTGTGTGTGTGTGTGTGTGTGTGTTTTGTGTGCTCTCAGTCAGTGATAAAGGGCCTCACCGCTCTTGGACACCAATCTGGGAACTGGAAATTCTTCCTAAATGTAGTCAATGCTCTGGAAAAGGAGAATGGATGTATTACCGCTGTATCAGACATCAGGAAGAAGGGGAGGTCAGCAGGATACTGACCAAAGAAGACCATGAAGAAGCACCTTCCTGTAAATATCTGCACTAAAGATTGACTCAACCTTTAGGTCACCTATTATGCAAAATCCACTTTTTCATGTCTTTTATACATAAACATGTGTCCCCTCTGTGTAAAGAGATTCTGAAAGTTTCAGGAAAAAAGATTCGCTCTTATTTTGTCCTGATCCATTTATATAAAAACCTGTCTGAAAATGAGCTGATCAGATTTTGGCCACTTTATGATGTCATAACGATTTTTTGGGTTGTGTAACCATTAGCCAATCACCAACCAAGGTAACCCCCACCCCACCTTATCACCTGAATCTCCTCCTAGAGTAACATTGTGTATTTTTTTAACCAAATATCTCTCAGAGGGCTCCTTATTTTCATCTAAAGTAACAGACAGAGAATCAGCACTTTTGAAACAGGGCTGAAACAGAGGGGTTTGTGGGATGCGACAATGATCTGTTTGGTATTTCGAGCCAAACACTTCAGAGACATGTTTTGTATATATCTGAAACCTATAATATATTGATGAAAAACAGTATAATAGGGGACCTTTAAAATGAATACTTCACCCCCAAAATATTGACCATCTGTGTATAAAATACTCAAACTATGTTGAATTCTTAAAGAAAACTTTTCTTTTCTCACAGAATCCAAAAACGGAGAAAACTTTTGATGACTTGAAGTCAATTGGATGATTAATCCTTATTGTTAAACACTTCTTTATATGCAGTGCTTAACATTTCCTAGTATGTGAAAATGCATGATTCTGAGAATGTTATGAGACGTGTGAAAGATTGTAAGCAGATGTGGTGAAATATTTTTGCTGTTCTGCAACCGGGCCTCATTTACCTCAATCTATCGCAATCACTCCTTTTTCTAATGCCTTGTTTACTGTGCCAGTACAAGGTAACACGGGGTGAGTTAATGGGCATTTTAGAGGTGAAGTATTCCTTTAAAAACAAAAATGTGCCTTCAACAAAATGTGATCCCTTTAACCCTTGGTGCTCTTCAGTGATGACCTACACAATCAATCAAGAAACTATTAATGATGTCACTGGTGTCGCCATTGTCATACTACTTAAAAGAGGCCCTATTATGCTTCTCGGGTTTTTCCCTTTCCTGGTGTGTGTTATAGATTTGTGTTCATGTAAATGGTCTGCAAAGGCTACAATTCCAAATGTCCCAGTTTCTCTCTCACACGCTGACAATTAGCATAATATATCGTCTTTAAATGACGTGGACTGGCACAATACACCATGATTCCTCGTACGTGTAAACCTACCTGGTAATAAACCTGTTTCTGTTTCTGATTCTGATGAACTGCTGATATACTGCTGAGATCTGCTATAAAGCTCTGTGGGATTAAACAGTATATTGCAGCAGCAGTCCATAAAGGCAACTGTGTTCAAAAGAAAAGTGTTTAAAAAAATGTTTAGAGAACCAATTTCATAATTATCAGAGAATGTTTTATTTCCTCACTGAACTTTGTAGGATTTTTTTATTGAGCCATGTAATCCTTTTTAAGTGACTTCTGACTTACTGTGACCTTAGAAATGTGACTGTATGTGATACAACATTATTTCCTGGGCATATTGTGACCTTTTTTTAAAGCGAAGAAAATGCTGTAGAATTTCATTAAACAAAAAAACAAAATATATATATATATATATATGTGTCAAGTTGATTCACAGTTAACAGTATCTAAAGAAAAATATTTTATTTTCATACCAACAACATGTTATTTTCTGTGTTTTAATATCTGAAAATGTTATGTATAATAGTAACACACTTTTTTACAATTATCATCTGTGAATATTTGTGATTTCACAATAAAGAAAAATCTGAACAAAGACGAGTGATTGTCACCAGATGTGCTTTTCAACGAAAGACACAGCTTGTAGCTGACGCTCAAAGTGCCCTTATTTATTGTTCTGTATTTTTTGAAGAGTGTTTAATGTATGCTTGAACTTTGTTTTATTTTGTAAAAATAATAAGAGTTGTCTTTCCGGAAGTCATGTGACCTCTTGCCCCGGATGTTAATATTGTGTTTGTGAGAGAGTAAAAGGGCGCTAAAAGTGTCAACGATGTGATAACGTAATTCTACTGCTGGTCTACTAGGCGAACACGTTTTCACGGTGTTTCATGATTGTACAAAGAAGAGAATAAACGTGATTGTGGACATCAGTTCGATACGTAAAGTTCTTTCAAGACCAGAGTAGTTACAGTGAAAACGTAACCTAATCCATCGGAACGAGGTATTCGACCCTGCTGCAAGCTACAGGCTAAAGTGTGCTACGCTGTTCCACACCCTGCTGCAAGCAACAGGCTAGAGGTGAGACGCTGTTCTCAATCCTGCTGCAAGCTACAGGCTAAAGTGTGCAAAGCTATTCGATCCTGCTGCAAGCTACAGGCTGAAGAGGCTAAAGACGTGAGAAGCTGTTCCCCATCCTGCTGCAAGCAACAGGCGTATCGTGTCGTGTGCGAAGCTGCGCTTCATCGGACGGTGTGCTGCGTATCCCGTGCGGACGACAGGCTTCATCAGACGGTGTGCTGCGTATCCCGTGCGGTCGATAGGCTCCATCAGACGGTGTGCTGCGTATCCCGTGCGCACGATAGGCTCCATCAGACGGTGTGCTGCGTATCCCGTGCGGACGATAGGCTTCATCAGACGGTGTGCTGCGTATCCCGTGCGGACGATAGGCTTCATCGGACGGTGTGCTGTGTATCCTGTGCGGACGATAGGCTTCATCAGACGGTGTGCTGCGTATCCCGTGCGGACGATAGGCTCCATCAGACGGTGTGCTGCGTATTCCGTGCAGACGATAGGCTTCATCAGACGGTGTGCTGCGTATCCCGTGCGGACGACAAGCTTCATCGGACTGTCTGCTGTTGTCCTGCTGGAACACGGGCTTCAGTGTGCAGCTGAGCATCTTCTCCTGGAGCGAATTCAGGTTTCTGCGTGGCTCTTCAGGTTGAACTGTACTTTTAAATGTAAACCTCAAATAATTGATGGATAGTCCCACAAATAAGGTAAAGGTAATAAAGACTTATTAGAATAAAGTAAAGAAAATATATTTAAAGTTCCTGAAAAGTAACTGTTATTGTTAAGGGTTATTACTGTTAAGAATTTTATTGGCTAAGTGTTAAAGGTATTCCAAAAGTTGCCATTCATATGCCTGTAACTTAGTCTGTCAGTCTGATTTAATGTCGCTAAATGAAGAAGAGCAAAGCCCAGACCTTGAAGCAAGGAAATCCTCTCGAGAGAGACGGCTAACACCAAAAATGCAAGAACTTAAAGAGCAAGAATTAACTCAAAAGGAGAAGAAGTTCAAAACGGTGTATGAAAAATGGAAAAATTAGGTAAGAGACATTCGTACAATACTTAAAAGAGAATGCTCTGAGAGTGACATGTGTAACATGATGGATGAAGTTCAGGGGCTTGAATCCGAATTAAAGGACTTGTATGACAACATGCGACTGAATACAGCACCTAATCAGGAAATTCGCAGGAAAATGGATGCATGCTCAGCTGTAACAGCAGATCTACTACAGCTAATGAGAGTAAGGTTAACTGAAGATGCAGGCGACTTTGACGCTGAAGCAGAAAAATCAAGGTTACGCATGCTGCTTAATAATGAGTATGCTCGGTCCATATATGGATCTACAGCATCTAGAGCCCTGCACCCAGCTACCGTTCAGATCATCTCTCAGAGTCACCTAGTATTTCAGCCAGGAGAGCAGAGTCAGTTGCACAGTTAGCGGCAAAAAGAGCTGAAATTGATATGGAAGCTGCTATTGAAGCTCAACGTCAACAATTGAAAAAACTTGAAAATCAAAGAGACCTTGATGTCATTCAGGCAAAGATAAATGTGTATACCGAAGAAGAGAGAAAGGAAAGGAGTGAGAGGTGTAGTCCTGTACACAGCCAATTGAATGATGCTAACCCATCTTCTCCTCACTCTGGAAGTCAAGAAATGACAAAAAATGAGGCACATTTAGTACAGGCGTTGCAAGAAGCAATGGCTCTCACCCGACTTCCAGTCCCAGAACCCACTGTATTCTTTGGTGATCCATTGAAGTTCACTGAGTGGAGCGCGAGCTTTAAAGCTCTAATAGAGAGGCGATGCTCTAACCCTGCAGATAGGCTGTTCTACCTGCAAAAGTACGTAGCAGGGGGGGCGAAATCTGCCCTTGAAGGTAGCTTCTACAGAAAAGATGAGGAGGCCTATGAACAAGCATGGGATAGGCTGAATGCCAGATACGGTCATTCCTTTGTTGTGCAGCGAGCCTTCAGAGAGAAACTCAACGGATGGCCAAAGATTGGGGGAAAGGAATATATCAAGTTGAGAGAATTTAGTGATTTCCTCCAAACATACAGCAACGCTATGCCTCACGTTAAGGGCCTACAAGTTCTTAACGACTGTGAAGAGAATCAGAAGATGCTAACCAAACTTCCTTATTGGTTCACATCAAGGTGGAACCGTTCTGTCACAGAACAGCTGGATTCAGGCAATGATTATCCAAGTTTCGCAGAGTTTGCCAGGTTCATATCAAAGGAGGCCCGTATAGCATGCAACCCAGTGTCATCACTATATGCTCTGAAACCCTCAGCAGAAATGCCTATAAGAGAAGCAAAAGGGCCAAAAGCAAACACATTTCTCACGGATGTGGGGGATTCAGACACACCTTGCATTGTAGCTAAAACCAACGTAGAAGAAACCAAGTCAGAAGATGCAGAGAAAGTGAAGAAAGGGAGCATGCTAACACAACTGAGTGTTTTTGCTGTGGAGAAAATCATTCCATATTCAAATGCCAAAAGCTACTGGAATTGACTGTGGAGGAAAAGAGAAAATGCATACAATAAAATAGGCCGTGTTTTGCATGCCTGAGAAAGGGACATGTCTCCAGAGACTGCAAGAACAGAGCCATGTGTGGCATATGCAAAAGGGGTCATCCGACTCCTTTGCATGAAGAGCGTTCCTCAGCGGACAAACCCTACACACACAGCAGGTTTGAAGGAAATACATCCTCTCTAACATGTTGTGTGAATGGAGGTGAAGGTGGGAGCACATCAATGATCGTGCCAGTGTGGATTTCATCATCTAACACTCCTAATTCTGAAACTCTGGTGTATGCTCTATTGGACACCCAA